TTGATTACTTGTAGGTAGTCCTTTACAAAAGCTCTTAACACTATTTATCAATTTCAAGAAAATTGAAAACATAATATATCTAGATTTCAAAAGTTACGTAAATACAACCCTCAATCTGGTAATAACAACCTAGGCAAGGTATCATAACTCTCAAACACCTTGAAGTTGCTATAAATAGCGTGGAAAGCACTAGACTTCAAGGAAGTGTTCTTTGATAGATTCGTTGTTGGAATATTGAGTTATAATTTATCGCCTTTGCTATGGTGTATCAGCTACGCAGCTCGCTTACCGATTACGTTAATTAACTAACGTAACCGGTAAGCGAGCTGCGCATGTAAGCCAGCTGCGCAGCTGGAACACCATAGTAAATGCGAAAAATTACAACTCAGTATCTCGACAACGAATATATGAAATAACTTTTCCTTGAGATACAATGATTTTCATGCCATGTTAAGCTAATTAACGGTATTTAGGAACTATCTTACCTTACCTAGGTGGTAAATACCAAAGATGTATAGATTGAGGATTGTAATTAACGTAATTTTTGGAAATCATGATAATGGAGCTTTTGAATGTCCTTGAAATCAATACATTATGTTGAGTAGTCTTATTGAAGACAGTCTATACATAATCAAATAAAAAAGGGCTCGTGGGTGATGAGATATGAAGTTGTAATTTATCGCATTTACTATGGTGTTCCAGCTGCGCAGCTGGCTTACATGCGCAGCTCGCTTACCGGTTAGTTACGTTAAGTTATATCACATGACTAATCCAATTTGTCCGTAATTTACACGTAATCCAGGCGTTTAAGTAAGCAGCCAATGGGGGTTCGAGTCAATACGTGTCTCTCTGCTCGTTCTCCTATCTCTGTGCGTGCACAATATGTGCTCACTTACTAATCTAGCTAGCTTACATCATCAATATGTGCCGACACAATATTCCGATAATTGCCACCGGAACATGTGATCATGGCTGTGTGTCGCACTCAAAAATCACATGATTCTGCCTCTTTACCAAAAAGGTGCACACCTTACTTAGTAAGGCATATTTAGTGTAATTCTCTTACTGACACTGTGGATGATTGAACAATAGGTACCCGTTCGAGTACATGTATCTACCTATTGTAGCGGAGAACCTCTGTTACTTGATATTACCGGTCAGACCAGATGAGGTTTTCTGACCTATATCATGACGCCTGTCTTGAATTACACTTGCATGTAGGGGCCTGGATATATCTAGAAACTCAAAGATAATATTGAATGTCACGCTAAGAAAATTGCCCAGGAACTTCTCGTACTGTACAAGCCTGCGCTTGCTTGTGGTTGTTGTTGTGCTGCTGAATCGACCCGCACATCTTCGAGTGTGCTGCCAACGAGCGTTCCCCTCTTCATTATCTATTCTATCTTTCTGCACGCACTTTATGCGTGTCCTCACTAAGGCTTTATAAGCTAGCTAGATTCATGATCCAATGTACTGACATGATTCTTGAATCTTGATTTTCTAGTTCTTGGAGTTCCCTTCTTAAACATGTCAGTAAACATGTCAGACGACGCTCCCACTTGGCCGTCGGCTAGGAGACAAGGGCTTTCTCATCTGATACTTGGTACATTTGCAAATAAATCTCTGAACGAGGGTAGTTGAATCACTTCCCTTTCCCCCATCCGCAATTCAGGAAGGGTGTTAGCATGGGAGAATCGCCCATTTGGGAAGACTAAGATAGCACTGCGATGCACCTTCTCATGACCTCTCATCCTCCAGTGGACTCCCCTTGGTATCCCCTCCACCTCATTCAGCTGATTGCCCACCTTTGGCCAAACCGCAGGCTTTGACCTGTAGCATCTCGCGAATAAGTACTGTGATGATCTTGAGTATTCCTTGACTACATACCTTTCGTAAAATTGGAATAAAGCTTGTTTTCTATCTTCAGTCCACTTATATGGCCAATTTAAATAGTCTCGAAAGCGAAGACGACAGGCAAAGAAAGTTCTACCAGGCAGCTCGTTACTAATAGCGGTCCATGCACGTCCTTTTCCTCGTAGCTCCAAAATGATCCTGTCCTCTTCGACTGACCATGGCTTATTGAACGTAGATAGAAGGGACCTGGGCTTTTCAGTCAAAGAATATGAACCAGCCATGCCAGATCTCTTAGTGTTGTGAACCATCCTAGTTCTCCAGATTTGCTGAGGGTATGAACTTGGAATACTTTGCAAAATATCCCGCGGTTGTGAGAATGGAGGATTTTTCGCATGACTTGATTTACATGTGATTTGGCTCATCTTCACCGGACAAGGTGAAGAAATCAAAATCGGAAATCGAAAGGAAGATTTTGGAGGTTGGAGAATATCGGTGTATGGCCGATCAAAAATCTTATTCGCCAAATTCGGAGACAATTGATTGCTGGTGGTTGAAGTTACAGCCTTTTTGAAAAGGGGATCTTTTGTGTTGATATAGGTATATGTGGGTCTTTTCTCGGTTAGACACAGCTAATCACTTTTTCTTCTGGAGGTACATACAAAATGTAAGATAATTTGGTGAGTTTATTAAACTGCGAATAAACGCTGGTCGATTTCGGGAATTTTTTCATGGAATTATGTAATGGGAGTCTGAGGGATGGCAGATAGACCTCGGGATGTTATTTTATCCCGGAAAGCTTTTGCCCAATTTTTTGCCCACTCTTCTGGAAACGTTGATGAAAATTAATCAAGTGGTCCTTAACGTCACACCCTTCTTACCCTAGTTAAAAATCTATTAATTCTGTTCCTAGAATACTACTTCAATTCAAATAAATTGAATTTATAACTTCAGTTATTAAAACAAGCGCGATCAAATCTATTACTATAATCCCATAAAATTATTACTTATTCCACTGAAGTGTATTCTTCTAAGCTATCCACACTGGGATATGTTCGTTTCCATAGCTTGACTTGCATTTGGAAATTGAGCTAGAAGGCATCCATTGACTAATAGGAAGAACAATACTCGACCAAGAGAATATAGAATGATTATTGCTACTCCTTAAAAAGTTTATAGATATACACCTCATTCTTCCCTTTGGCTATATATTTCAGGCACATGATATGGTTGAGACGAGTAACCCTACCGCGAGAAAAATTCATATTCGCACTTCATACAGAATCCTCAACTTGCTTATTTCGTCCCCTGTGAAACATGTCATGGGTACATAGCTTAGATCTGAACCCATGAACAGTTGCCAGAGATTTGAGTCGCACTATCTGTAGGACTATCGAGTTGTCCCGAGATGATGACCCCATTTTGAATCAAGATTCGAAAACTGTTTGGACCCACTACCCCTTCAAAGTATTTCTTGCCGCCTATTAATTCAGCGGTGGCAGTATAGGCAAGAGAGACATCTGAGCCATGGAAGGACGGAGCTGCCTGTAATATGGTACAACTGAAACAGTAAACAATGCCATTGATACCAAATAAAGCCTTCATTCGACGGTCCTTATGTCGCAGCTCTCCTTTTTGGGAATACATCTTTCTGAGAAGGGTGTTAGCCAGAAGTAATCTAAGAATAAGTGAACGAGGTATGATGACTTACTTTGTGTTGATAGAGGAGGTCCTGATCTAGTATATTGGTAATAATTTTATGAGTGCACGTGAATAAAGAAAGGAAATGAGAGTGTTACCTTAAGAGAGAAGATTCGGTGACTGGCAGTCATTAAATAATAGGATGCCTTGATTAGTTTCTTATGAAAAAGATAAATAACTGATGGAACTTATTTAATTCACCACTTCATTTAACCACTGTTAATCACCCTTTGTTTAACCACTCTGAATTCAGTCTTCATTTAATCATTCTTAGTCACCCTTTATGTAATCACTCTTAATTCACCACTTCAATCAATCAATTTTAGGTCCAATCGTGAGCATGGGATACTTACTAGCGAAATATATTTCCGCCCTTGATACTCAAAATCCGTGTTATTGCCCCGGCGCTGCGATAAAATAGAGAAATACCCTTACACTATACGGCTTTATACAGTATAAATAAATAGCATATAGATGAATAAACTTACAAGCCTAACATAAATCGTTTAGCGTTAACATTAAAAAGGGGTTCTTTTATATATATTACTCTAAATTAGTGAGACGAATTTCTAGTCTAGCTAGTGAAAAGAATAAAAGTCTATCAAACACGTAAGCATACAGCGGAGTCTAACGAGCAATAAACAAAAACCGAAGGGTGGAACAATTTCGACCGGCCCGGTACCTGCAAAGATTATTGAAACTGAATTATATCAATTAGTTTATTCTGACAAGTCCGAATGTGATACAAAGCATAGAAACCAGAAAGGAAGTTTAGAGACATTCTGTGTATGGGTATCCAGTGGAAGCATTGAAAGTGATATAAGGGGCTGGAATTGCATGAACTCGGTCGTGAAATTTGAGACAGCAGGTTGGACACATTTTTCAATGATTGCGGCTTTCGTGACAATGATAGATTCATGGTCTAGCGTAAACGGGCGTAGTCAGATTCACTATCGTCTTCGCGGTGGAGCCTGAGGTAGTTTCTCTTTTTAAAACGTGCAAGCCAATTTCAAATGTTGCTAGAGCCACAACAATTGCCTGTTCTACCTGAGGCTAGGCTTTCAATAATTTGGCTGGGTCTAATAGAAACTATATCTAGCCAGATAGGATCTGGTGTGGCTTCGGATACGGTTTATACACGGAGGGCTCTCTTCTTGACTCACTATCATAACCTGACTTTCGTGTTATGTAGTCAAGTAAATCCAAACTGCATTCTAGTTTTCCTTTTAATCAGCGCTACCTTATCATCGGTACGTTATACTAATGTTGAGATGCATTTTACATCTTTAGAATATTCAGATAAACTTATCGCAGATTACAACAAGGCATTTGGGGCTATTGCTATCGCCAGATAAGCGTCTCTTGACTCTATTTCATGTTTCTTAAGACCACACAGTCGTCTTCGTGTCAGGTCTAATACCACCGGTGTAAGCTTTGATTTGCCTAGGTCAGTGACCATAACACGCCTCGTCAAACGGTATGTCAATCCAAGATGTGTCAAGCTTCTTGGGAAGACCAAGCACTTCTTCAAGGAATCCCGAAAGAGATTTCCTGAGGTTTATGAATTCCTTGATCTGAGGCACATAATGTCCACCATTGAACTCAAAGAACCATGGTGACGTACATTGCCGCGAGAGTTCGATGGTCTGTGCAGTGGAAATGGTTGCGTCTAGTTCTCCGATGGTGTGAAAGATTGGAGTCTCGATCTTAGGGTCGTAGAATGCTTGATAACAATTTTTGCCGAGCATGAATCCACTAAGACATATCGCGAAGTGCAATGGTGGGTGACGTGTCTATATGTCGGTTTCAGTTCTCAACCTATAGTCAGGTAACAGAGCGGGGGAGTTCGACTACCTTCCAAGGTATGTTACATGTCTCCCTTCTCTTCTCTAGTAGCGATGTGATGATCGCAGCCATAGCAGCACCAGAAGAAAACCCAATAATTCCGCAAAAAGAATCGTCCTGGTCTAGAGTACTGAGTATGTGTTCGAGAGATTTCTCAAGGCCATTGATTCGGCCGTGATCAGGCTCTCCATAGCCCCAGGCCCTCTGGAACAGAAAATTTTCATCGCCATAATTATCAGGATAGGCTGGTAGTAGTCCAGACAGGTACTTGAACTCGAATTTCAAGTCCTTTGACAGGCCACCGAATATCTCTCTCACATATCTGGTCTTTGCTTCAAAGTCATCTCCAGATTGCCCATGTCCTTTCTCTTAAATTAGAATCGCATTGGGGATGGATTGTAAGATAGCGGAGAGACGTACCATGTAGCATGAGTACTCTAAGAACTTTAACGGGCATACTGCGCGCAAGAGGAAAGCAAGATTTTTCGGGAGAGCCGAATAGTAACGAATGAGAATAGTGTTTCTAGATGCGGTCGTTAATCCGTCGTCTATGCATGGAAAGAATACAACAATGGGGTGTGAGGGCTTTAACGGGAAAAAGGAAGAAATATACTAGATAGGCTCCTTTCAGGATGAAGTTGTATCTCCATCCCATTCTGCATGAAAATTTGACCGCTCCAGTGCACTCCTGTATTTTCCGACTATCTGAGTGTTAATACCATAAAGTTGTACATTGATTGCTTGATTATATAAATGAGTTATATTGAATTGAATAAGAATGCGAGGATGTAAGAAGCAACTTTCATTGAATTAAACTCTCAACCACACAGATTCCATGCAATTCCTTATTTTCCTGAACAGATGTCTCCAATTAGCTCCATTTTACGCCCTCATCATACTATAGCAAAAACACTGGAATAGACTTGAAAGCTGTCATCCTTACATGAATAATGAAGATCGTCGTATGGTTGATGGCAACTCAACTACTCTGTTTGGAAATGAACACCGTGCTCCCATATTATTACTTCACTTCATCATCTTAAACTCAGAAAGGTCATTTGATGACGGTATTCTGCTTATTGCAGGTCTCAAGTGCCCAATACTGGGAGCGTAACATACCTTTGCCAGGGGATGGCAATGATTAGAAAGATGGTGTTATAGAAAATGATTTCGCCATCTCCTATACGGACTCTTGGTAAAATATGAGTGTTGTAGGGAATGTTAAATTGTTGCAATACTCAACAGGTGAGACGAAAGCGCCAAACAAACTATATCATGACCCTAGTGCTGACAAATATCAACTTGAAGGTTACCATGTAAGCGGTGGAGTGTTTTTGACCCGGCTCGGACAATCAACACCGTGACAGGCTGTATCCAGGACGGTAAACTACTATGCTTTTTGCATTAAGCAATGCAAGCATTTTAGACTAGAAAATAGACAATCCAGATTCCTGTTCCCCTTTACTGTATACATGGAATCAAGCCAAAAGCACCGGACTTTGTAGACGTAACTTCATATGATGGATACTTTAGGAAATATGATGTTTGCGATCGACTTTGTGGCTCCCACATATAAACCTTTCCGCACTACCAGTTGAAACCCTCTTTCCTATCATTCCACTGGGGTCAAATGGTCTGCAAGATGACACTTGGGATACAAAGCGTCCAATTGCTGTCTCGAGAGCTACAGCTAGCGTTAACAAACCATTCGACGGTGTGCTCGCCGCAAAGACAGCACCATGATGCGCTCAGAACGCTCCTTCCATCCGCCATGGAAGACGAAACGAGCAAGGGAGAACGCATCATAAGATCTGGAGCACCTTCCCCGGAAGAATATGTTCTCAAGTCGCCTTATGTTAACTCTAGTCCATATGGTCAGGTTAGTTTGACCGTGAAATTATTTATAAGCGTGTTTTTAACTTGCTTACGGTCCATGAAGGGGAACGCACAGAAAGGGAGGAAAGCTATCGACAAGGTCTTGAGTATGATTGAACATATATTCCGAAAGCTTTGTCAGCTACAGTGCTTTGGGTAAATAGACATAATATACTATAAAGAGAGCTGGGATAAGATACATGGTCGATCTGGCAATAGACAATAGGAAGCAAGCAGTTTTGGTTGATTAAGAAGTTGATAGTCAAATAATACACCTCACTGCTGAGCCTTCAAAATGTAGTCAACGCAAGAAAATGAGTCCGGATATCGGGTATGGGTACTAGGATAGCGTTAGGCCCCATGATCCAATATACTGCTCATGATTCTGCCAAACCTCGAATCTTCAATTGTGACAGCTTTCGGTATTTGACATTGAAAAAGATTGGATAAAGCCTCCTGTAGTACGGTTTCGGCTCTGGGATCTTGCCATACACTTTCGGCACAGCAAAAGTTGTATGATATTCTTGCGAATAATTTGTGAGGAGGAGGTTTGCAGAAGCTGTAACTCCGTGCTTGCTAAGGAGCGAAGCCAGAAAGATATTTCGTTCTCACATTGGCTTCCGTTGTTTAGTGCAATGCATCGAGGCTGGAGTCGAGGCTCCCGAATCACGGTTGACATAGGCGAGGTGGATTTCAAATAGCCGGAGGTGAATCCCACATGCATGGTTGCTCTGTACGAGGCAACCTTGCAGTATGTTCAATATTAGGTATATTTTATACCAATAGGAGATTGGAACTTATGGGCAAGAAGAAGTGCTTAGCGAGAACTGCTTTTGGCGTATGACCCTGAAGTGCCGGCAAGGGAAGTTATGTCACACCCAACGGTGCAATAGGCAATTAACAAACGAGGCAGGCGGAAGTCCAAATACAAATGAGCTTGAAGCGGTCTCAGCTCTTTCACGAATGATATATGCTATGCTCAATATGCGATAAAGCTACAAAGTGCGAAGATAGCCATATATAGGTGTATCTTACAAGATTTCCATGCATTGAGCTTCTTCCACCAGCTGTGTAACGGATTCCCCATCCCTTGGCTGACAATTGCGGAACAGATTCATAGTTTGGGAGATTGCATCCCTCAACCGCTTTATTTCCCCACTCATCTGTTCAATTGAGGTATGAGAGCATCCAAGCTCCTCTTGGAGACGGCAAACCATGGCCTCCAGCTCTTGGTTTTTGCTCAGCAAATCCTCGGCGCGGGTGCTGGCGCGCTCAAGCTCTAAGGAAACAATCTGGTTATTGCACTCCAATCGCTGTATAGTTTCCGTGAAAGATTCCACGACATGTTTGGGGCCCTTGGAATCCCCGAGTTAGACCAACGCCGCTTCGTTGTGCCAATAGCGTAGTATTGTACTCACTTCTATACTCGAGGCTTTACCGTTGCCGACTACCGATAGCTGTAGGGATGGTGGGGTCACAGCTTCAATAGATTTGCCGAGCTCATCTATTATGTCTTGGTAGAGGCCTACCGTGCCACGGCCCAGGTTCGTCTTCAGAAGATGTTCCTTGGAGTTGGACGCAGACCACGCGTAGCCGTCCTCCGGAGACGGCTGTAAGCGCACCCGCCCTGGAGGAATCACTAGGCCCAATCTTTGATCTGTAAATATCAAAAATTAGTCGCAAAGTTGGGTTCTCGGGGTGAATGAGGGGTGCTTTCCGGATGTGAGCTACCATGGCTTCCCGGCATTGTCGCCTTCGTAAGGCGCGCCTCTCATTGCTTGTGAGAGTCATTTTAGCCGCTTTTTTTTCTGAATCAAGCGGTGAAACAATATCTTTGCATGGAAATTGAGCTTTATATGAATGCGTGAACCCTGTTCATTGGGTTTCACATAAGCGTCGTTAGATGTTTGAACTAATTATCTGGGCTGCCGAAAGGCCCTTTGATGAAAATTTTGTTTCTGCCTTTCATTGAACTCATGATCAGAACTCAGCAAGTATTAGAGCAATTTGCGAGTAGCGCGCGCTTGGAATAGCGACCTGTCTGCTTTGCAACATGCAAGAACCAGTGCAATGGTGACGTAGCTTAGTAAAACGCACCGAACCCACTATAACATGGCACGATCTATCTCATTATCTATGAGCGAGCAGGATGGATAATTTGCCTCTTTTATGACAGTAGATTTCGAGTACAGATTTCCCATGGACACGCACGCTTAGTTTCTCGGACTGTAATCGAAAGCACGCTACTTATATTTGGTTACAGAATTTCAAGAACAATCCGAGACCCTACTTTTGCTATCGTATCTGGTGCTGTATCATATTTGATGGTCAATGTAGAATACTCTGAATCTCTACAGAATGTTATAGGACAGTTCTCGATAGGGCGGAAGGTCTGGCAATCTGGCTTCATTCACGCTGGCCATCCTGACTTCCTTCCATTTCATGCTCTGTCTTTGTCTTGATCTTAATTCGTAAGTTACATGCCGAAAACCCTGCTGCTGCCGAAGATGATGTTAGTAAATTCGTCCATGGACGCTGCCGCACGTATATTAATGACGCGAGTCTCTGCACGAAGTCCTTACCGTGCACGTACCGGCAGGAAGTGCAGTTATCTAGACTTTCGTGAACAGCTCTCAAAGTTCATGGAATCTTTAGATCCTCGAAGTTTCGCTAGGGCGAAGAGACCTCTTTTTTCAAGCCTTCCGACACCTAAAGTTGCTCCGTTGATATTATTCCCCTTACAACAATCGTTCCAATTGTGAAAGAAGAGAACTTACAACTATTCACACTGATGGATAGCAAAGATATAAATCAACGAATGCAAACAAAGTCTGATAACAATCAAGCCTGGCCTAGAAGTTAAGAGAGTTTATAGCTATCCATAACTTCCATATTTGGTTGGGTTACTCTTGAAGGGGATCCATCAAAATTCTCCTATGGGCCAGCGAAAAGAATGTTTAAATAGTGTCACCCAGAAGCAACAGTCTTACGACTGTGACCAGGTAGATATTTATTCCTCCCACACTACTGCATAACCAATCTTTACTCTTTTGAGACCCTTGACCTTCATCGCGATATCTTCGGCAAGCTAGGAACTGTCGACTTTGGTATCGATCCTCGTGGGAGATGTTTCCGAAAGCCAAGACCTGTAGGGAAATTAGACCATTCGGACCAAATGCCCGTTTCGCAAAATCAACAACTCATTTCCCTTCGAACAGGAAGACGGTTTTTCAAACTCCAACTGTGCTTAGCCAAATAGTTTGCTCCTTAATAGAATATTATTGTTCGTGTCACTTGCGGTCATTGATAGGTAATTCGAAGGATTAGTTAACGTAATTCACCCCCGAGCCGGCCATCCCGGTCGGCCCGGCCACCCCAACCAAAACGCGTCAATTAATTAGACTATATTCCTTCAACCAACCACCATGCCACCAATTCGCTCTCAAAATCGTCAGAAATTGACGCTTCAAGAAGGTCGTATCTTGCTTGCTATCCAGGCAATAGAAAAGCAGGCAAAATTGTCAACCCGTGAAGCAGCACGCATATACGATATCCCTAGAACAACGCTCCAAGACCGGCTTAACGGACGTTAAAATCGCGTCGAGTTACGCGCAACTACCTTTAAATTAACTAAAATCGAAGAGAATTCGCTTAAAGAATGGGTAATCTCTATAGATATACGTGGAGCAGCACCACGTCCTTCTATGGTCCAAGAAATGGCTAATCTCTTGCTCGCGACACGCGGAACGACCCCGATTCAAACCGTCGGCAAAAATTGGGTTACGAAATACGTTAAACGACACCCAGAACTCGATACAAGGTTCTCAAGACGCTATAATTATAAGCGGGCAAAGTGCGAGGACCCAAAAATCATTATAGAATGGTTTAACCTAGTTTAAAAGACGACTTTAAAGTATGGGATCCATAAAGATGATATCTATAACTTTGATGAGACGGGGTTCGCGATAGGCTTGACAGCGACCGCAAAAGTCGTTACAAGAGCAGAATATTATGGTCGTCGCTCTCTTTTACAGCCTGGAAATCGTGAATGGGTTACCGCGATTAAGTATACGGGCGCGTCTAGATATAGCCTTCCTCCGATGGTTATCTTTAAGGCAAAATTATTCACGAAAGGCTAGGCTCAAGAGTTAAAGCTTCCAGGCGACTAGCAATTCCAGGTTAGTCTAAATGGATAGACCTCGGACGAGATCGGACTTTACTAGCTTAAAAAGGTCTTTATCCCATCGACTTCCTCGAGGTTAAAGGGGATATATCGACTCTTGGTTCTAGATGGTCATAGAAGCCATCTAACTCCAAAATTCGACGAAATTTGCTCTAAAAATCATATTATTCCGATCTGCATGCCACCGCACTCATCACATCTTTTACAACCTCTAGATATAGGTTGTTTTGCCGTCTTAAAGCGTGCGTATAGAAAGTGCGTCGAGAACGTGATGCGGTCAGGTCAGAACCATATCGACAAGTTAGACTTTTTAGACGCCTTTCCAGACGCTCGAATCAAAGCTTATAAAGCAGAAACGATCAAAAATAGCTTCTCGGCAACCGGTTTAGTTCCATATAATCCAAATCGGGTTATTTCAAAGCTCAATATTCAGCTCCGGACGCCTACACCACCACCATCTCGAGGTAGCCAAAGTAGCCAAAGCAGCATATATCAGACACCTTCGAATCATAAGCAGCTCCAGAAGCATGAAATTTCGATCAAAAAGCTCTTAAAAGCACGCTCTAAGAGCCCACCAAGCCCGCTACTTTCTCATATAGATCGGGTGCTTAAATCATGTCAAATCCATATGCATAATCACGCTCTTCTAACTCGAGATATCAAGCTTCTACGCGCTAGAGCAGAGAAAAAAGAGTCAAAAAAAGCACGTTCTAAGCTCCGGGTATCAGCTCCAGAGGGCCTATCTGTCGCTAAGCTTCGAGAAATAGCTCAAAATGATGGAAATGGTCAAATTGAAGCTTCATCCGACCAGCCAACCGGTCAACCAGAAGCACAAGAACGACGATCTAGGGCGCCATATAAATGCTCTAAATGCGGTATTCATGGTCATAAAAGAACGAAATGTCCAAAATTGATTAAATAGCTTAGAAATTCAATATTACGTTATTTTGGGTGAATTATGCTGATTTGAATTAATTGAAGTTGATGAGGTGGCCGGGCCGACCGGGATGGCCGGCTCGGGGGTGAATTACGTTATCTTGGGTGTGATTATATAAACATCACGACTAATTTTATGTAAGGCGAGCGATAAGCCCCTGTCGAACAATCCGATGCATCATCTCGTAAACACTAAAGAGAAGGTGTGAAACTCGCGAGAATAAGTTACTACAGAAAGGCCTAAGTATTGGCGGCTACTTCTATCAGCTGATTCAAGTTTCCGAGAGACAATACCTATTATTGCTGATGACGACATATAGATCACCAGAACAGATATTTGTAATAGATCCATAACATTGGGTAGGTGGAAAGCCCAAGATAGTTGTTGATCTTGAGTCTATCCAAATCGCCCTTCATCAACGGATTGAAGACCACGATGATAAGCGAAAATTTTCGGCTTTTGGTGTGCATCCTATTATGGATGAATGAAACCGATTGAGTTTCACTATATGTGAGTTTTTTTGATATAGTAGTATGGCCCTCCGGGTACCTTGAAATCTGACGAGTATTAGCTCGAAAGACCTCTTTACCGAACTACCCCATTGTGTACTCCATAACTCAGCGATGTGTACTCAAAAGAGACCTGGTATGTTCCAAAATTGTGGTGCGGCCGTCCAGGTTGGGCACAGGGCCCCAGGTGCACTGGAAGGAAAAGGGTCAAGCTCCCATGAACAATCACTGCAGCCGAGGCTATGCACCAAGCGGTCCTGAAGCGTTGCTACAGGACCGTCACGACCATCATGGAATGACAAATTTCACTGAGTTCCTATGGGTTTTATGGCTTTCGTCTCACATTGCGTCCCTCGCTATATTCGTGTTGTGGCGCTCGCTTAACAGATTGCTTAGCTCTGTTTGAGACTGCTGAATTCACGGAAAAAGAAGTTGAAGCATGTGTCTCAGCTTGAATCCGTCCAGGAAAGGTATCGAAAGGCTGGAAGGGGATCTCTTTTCGGTAGATGGTTGGACCGTCGGTACAGCTTGTGGCAATCGTCCGCTTGTCAAGCATTTCGAGAAACTTGCACGTGAATTGAGCCTCGTAAATGTGAACAAATTTAAGATCGTCCCTATTTACTACGACAAGGCGTGCCTAGAATTTATGAGCCGATTTTTACAAGTAGTTTTTGGGAAACAATTTGAAATACATACCGAAAATGATGGTGTTGATGAATCTTTTAAAAGGCGTTTCTTAAACTGGGCGATAGATAATAAGACACAAACAAAATATGGGTCTTCTGTCCATTCCTGTGGGGTAACTCGGGATAACTTCTTTGCGAGTCTACCGCGGATACCAGTAACATTCAGATAGTCCAAGTAGCCGACGAAGGGGCCATCCTTTTTGATCCGGCCTTTCTGGGTACGGTGAGACAAGATAGTGTAGTGTGGTTGATGAACGGGTTGGCCACCGAAGAAAAAGTCGGGTCCTTCTCTATGATCAGGAGCTATTAGCTAAACAGAAGAGGAAATCAACAGCTATTGTTTCACTCACCTGTGCAGGTCAAATGGTAGTAACCGACGGAGGATATTGAATTTCACAGTTGGCACGCTGGTATTGGCAAGCATCTTCACATAATATGTCGTCTCATTCCCGGTAATGCTATTTCTCAGTCGAGGCACTTGAGACACCATGTTGGCAGTGTCCTCTGTTGGAACATCCTGGAATGAACATCCGAAGGCGTCTAGGTAGCCCGCGCTCCAGCTTAAAGGGTGCACCAAAAGCTCGGATAAAGAATACAATTTGTCAGAAATTGGCATAGCTTCGTTCCAAGCCACGTATTGTGGGAACTGTAGCTGGGTTCTCTAAGATGGGGAATGGTTGCTTGCATTGCTGAGCCCGTTGCCTCCGCAAGGAGGCCCGCGGAGGCGCAATAATAATTGGCCGACATCATGTCACCTGACCGCGCCCCACTATTAGTAAATATCTCAGCGGGGCAACATGTTTTATTTACTTAACCTTGTGCGCATCGGCAACATGGCCAACCCCGCATATTTTGATAGTGTCACCTCCATATCGTATTTTAAAAATCGATTCATCACCGAGGGAGGGAAGCTTTTCTCGGAAATTTCCAACGTTGCCGCGAGTGCATGGTGCCGTGATCATTTGTTCGCCTGTCAGGTGATACGGCGGGACACTCAGTACGACGTTCTACCTCTGTTATCGCCATATAAATGCTCATTAGATGAGATCTTTCCCCGATATTCATGCATTCTTGAAGGGGCCTGACTCGACATACAGCTCTCAAAGCGAGCACGGTCTCGTTCGTGATTCTGGTTATAGCCTATCTCTTGCACAAATCTGGGCTGCAATGGCAATGATCAAAGCTGGAAAGAATCTTCGCATGGACAACTCCGAGGACTTTTCGGTATATGAAAGTGACGACGAACCTGATTCAAGAGCCAAACGTCTCCGACGAAACACGTTACAAGAAGGATACGTCGACTCGAGTGTACTTCAAGTTGGCTCAAGCAGCCCCAAGGCCGAAAGCATCCACACCGCTTCTTCGCTTGACTGGGTTGACAGAGCCACTCATATACTTTTGTCATCGCCGGAAGACGAGACTCTGCGACTTGCCTCTTGTGTCATTCGGCATATTTTGTACTACGCTCCACCTCAGGATACTGGGGGTCTTGAGACGGTTATTGAATTTCGCGATGCTAAAAGAAGGCTCACTGCAATTACACCAGTATTGAGACGAAAGATAGTCGCTATTGACGACGGAGGCCTTTACCGACGGAAAGCAAATGGAAACATCTTCACGGTCGATAAAGAGCGTGTCGCTATTGTTGAAGCTAAGAGAGAATTTCAGTGTCTGGAAAATGGTAGACCCACTATTTCAGACAATTGTCTCGCACAAATGACGCGCGAGGCTCTAGTATCAAGATTGGCCGATCCATTCACCGAATTAGGTGAAGGCAGGTAATAAAATCCTTCATGTCTCGTCTGGATATCACCCAGGATCGAAGACAGCTGACTGATCAACCTAATATTATAATTATCCATGCTGCACAGCATTACGTCTGCTTTCTCCATTTCCAAATCAGTGATGATTACATCCGAGACTTCGAATCAGCCTCCCCTAGAAATTTCTTATATGTCACCTCCACCCACTGGTTCGATCTAAGTTCTCGAAGCGGGAGAGAGCATGTTTTGGAAAATTTGAGTTGTATAATGCGATGGGCTGGGTAGTAAGCTCGGCTTTGTACTCGTTCCTATCTTTCGTATAGTCACTTTAAACAAGATAAATGTACAGGATGTTCGTCTTTAATGTGAGTAGCTTCCAGCCATCAGTGGAAGAAGGAAGGAAAGTTTAAGGGCGAAGGAACCACATCCCCTGACGTTTCAACAACAGACTCTCTCCTTGACATACCTCCGTTCCCATTACTGAACTGAAATATTTACCAATCTTTGCAACATAGAACAAGGAAGATAGACTCATGGAGCACTCACGACTCCTACAGAATCCAGTTACAGAATGCTTAAATGCACATGTCTAAAATCAATGCACCAAAAAATCACCACAAAGCCAAGATACCAGATGAAAAGCTGTATTTTCAGTGGGTCAGTCAGTTATCGTGATATGAGGGCGATACAACGTCTCCGACCATGATCTTCCTGCTGCCTGGCGCCTTTAGCTCAATACTCCAGGCACGCTTTACAGAAATGGCCACATATCTGCCAAACAGGATTTTGCCGCCGGATTTTCGCATTTGAGGGAGCGCAGCAAGAATTCTTTGCGTCGCACGCCCGTAGGCTGGTCAACGCATAGCATCTGACCGCGCTGGCAAGGGTCAAAAGTATCAAAGCGAAGCTGGTATTGCCCAATGCGCACAGATAACCAGCGGTCCTCAAGGTATGGTTGCTCTAAGATGATCGAATTTATCTGCATCGATAAATCACCTGAGGGGTGGTAGATTGGAACCCCAGAGATCTTAATTTAGTACGGATCTGTCTTTGACAAAGATGAATTGGATCTAGAGTCGAGTATATGGAGTTTGAAAAGGAATCAATGTTAGTAAAGTGGTGAATTTGGTTTCGTCCCGCCCTGTGGTTATGGAAAATCTCTTAATTCTGTAATGTTGGCTTGTGAAAATAATGGACTACTCACTCGATGTACTGTAGTCATTCTAGCGAATGCACATGATAGTCCTTCCACCATCCCATGTAACCCTGTTTCTGATCCTCATCTTGAAAGTTTCATGTGATGTGTTGATGACTGTACCGTCTTCTCCCACGAGATGTGCGGAAGAAGCAAAAACAATCGCTTCGCCGGTCTGGAGGCGAGCAATACGATGAAAGCCATCTACAACACGCTCACAGTGCTGTTGAGTTCTTCCGCTATCTATCGGGAGATGCTTCTCGATAGTCTTATACCATTCGGGACTTGTAAAACGGTGAATAATAGTCAATGAGCAGAGGTCGATCAGCCTAGGGGAGATTGTCGGCCCCTGTGTGGAAATTATAATACGCACTCTCAAGTGTCGTTGCTGTCGGATAATGGTAAGAAAGGTCTCCGTAAGAGCCTTCGCCGCAGGGCTATCAATCACGTACTGATCACCAAGGACTCGATGTCAGCCACTACTAATAAGTGTTAGTTAATCGAAGGCATTTACCTTGTGTGCCTCATCGGCGATGATCATTTTCCCTCGGGAAGGATGCGCATTGAGAAACAGGTCAATAGCGATGCGGAAGAGAATGCACGCCGTACATTGATCGACAAAAGGGCACGACAGGTCTAGAATGGTGACACCACCGTCAACATAATAATCACTGCCACCGTTTCCCGTAAGTTCAAGGTAGGAGTCCAGAAGATCCAGTCTTTGATAAAGAAAAGGTGTCTGGGATCGGTCGAGATTGAGAGCGTTCAGACGGGCCCGAAAATCAGAATAATCAAAATAGCCGCCGCTCTCCATTGCCATATCCCGAAGGACTCGAGTCACCTGTGCCATATATAGGGGCATCCCGCCATTTTGAGAGATAGACATGAGCGAAAGCATCATAGTGATATTGAGGTATTCAGGTTGAAGCTTGAATGGTCGAACCTCAACATTGGGGATTTGCGAGTAAATCTTTTCGAGGTTGTGGAAGTTTGTTGGTGATACTAGAACGCGCACTTGGACTTGCCTTTCACGTGCATACTGGGGTAGGAATCTGGCTAGGAACGCTGCCTCGCTGGGCTGCGAGCTCACTGTCGAGGTATACTCATCGAATTGCAGCACAAGAGTCGAAATAGAAGCTTTGAGGGTTCCCAACGCCGGAATGTCCATCGAGCAGTTTTCTATATCAACATTAAAGATGGCTACTCATGAATCGAAGTGCGAAACATACCGATGATGCAAGCAGTGGTGTGCGATTTTCCACTCCCTTGTATGCCACAAATAAAGGCAGAGAACGGAATGTTTGTATTCAAAAATATTCTGAGATCTGAGTTTCCATTTCCTGCTGCGGCAATTCTTCCAAGCAGCGCACATTGAGAAGGCAAGCTGTATCCGCGCTGCTCAAGCTGAGGAGAGATTAGAAGAGCATGCCCATTGAGTGCAGCATCCGTGGTCTCCTCTATTTGGTCATCGCTGGGGAGCAAGAACTGCTGCTGCAATTCTAAAGAGGGAAGGGGTTCGGCGATGTCAGAAGTTCCCATATCAACGTTTCCAGCGAGATGCTCCTTGAAATCTGCCCAAATTATTAGAATTGCTCATGAAGACAAATTCAAGAGACCACTACCTTCTAAACGGAAGTTGACCAAGTGGCCATTGTCACCCTTGGTGACTAACTTTCCTACATCACCCTGCGTATGGTAACCGACGAGTAGATTGACATCTTCCACAGAACCCGATGCTATCGTCGACGGTGGTCTCGTCTGAGAAATATTTGATGATAGGGGATGCTGGACCCGATATTGAGTAATAGTCCACTGCGAAGGAGTCAAAGTCGGCGACGAGACGTTTAGGACTTGGGTCCCTGTTGGGGTTTCGACATCGTTGTCGTCCCTTGACGTTGATTCGAGTTGATCCGCGTAGCTCAAATTCTGTTTAACATTGGGATGATAGGTTTCCGCGAGAGACTTATCTGTCTACAAACTCTTTGATGAACTCACTGTGCTTTGGGCTCTTTCCCAAGTATCTTCTCTTGATCGCTTCCCGGTCGATTGGCTTGTTTTGTAGGTAGACATCGCCAAAACCTGAAAATGGGCCCAGAGTCGGGCCCAAAGCCCAACCCACTGTGGGCTTTGGGCTTGATATATATCTTAAGCCCAACCCACTATGGGCTTTGGGCTTTTTGTGGGCCCCCATGGGCCCCCATAAAAAGCCCAACTTTGCATAAAACTGGTCTTGGCGCTCATAAATCTGCTGACATATCCAGAAAATTGCATCAAAAGACTGCATATTTTGCTTTTTTACTAAAATTAGTGAATGTTTGTCTTGTTTACACACTAGTGGGCCCCCAATGGGCCCCCAACAATGGGCCGAGCAACGGGCCCAAAACGCGACCCATTTGTGGGTTGGGTCGGGTTGGGCTTTGGGCTTTGTGGGGTTTGGCGATGTCTATTTGTAGGTGGCGACTATAGATTGCTTCACCGATCGCCTGCCTGAGAACAATCTGGGACCACTTTCTGGCTTTTCGAGTCATTTTGAGAAAATGTTCTTAGAAAAGAAAAAGATGTTAAAGCAAAAGAGGCGGCGGTTTTAGAGGATGGCAGGCCGAGAGGTCGATAGGCATGGAGGGGTAGAGCGGTCACGGGATATATTAGTACTTCAGTGAAACAAACGCATTATGCAGGATCAAACGAATGTTCACAATATTCCAAAGACCTTCCCCCGGGGCAAAATTGGACCAAAGAGCACAGGCGGCGGAGGAATCACTAAGATCTATTTTGTGTTAACTCACCTACTTGTGCAAAACAAACTTCCTGGGCCAGAATCTGGTTATGCGGAGCAACAAGTCAAGCTGTCATAGGTTGAAAAACTAGCACTGTCTTATGGGCAATTGCGATTAGGCTCGCATTGGTGCTATTATGATTACTATGCCAAAAATACGTAGGATACTTTAGTTCTCGATTGGTTTGCTCTTAATTAAGTTCTGTTGGCTTTTAATATAAGATCTAAAGAAACATATTCATTCCCAATAGACGGGTAGGTACATATAGGTGACACGATGCAATATAAATAGCGGGGAAAAGAAACTCAAAATAAGAGCAAGGTCAGCTATAAAATACTAGGACGATTATAGCTTTATCGATGACCTAAGTGTGAGTCTCGCTATAATTACTCCCATAATAAGATGCTGAGAAGAGTGGACAGAGGGCAAGGTAGTGCGAATTACTTATAATAAGGGAATACTGTTATTTACGGTGATCGACCGTAGGTACCTAAACCATGTAAAGCTAGCGTAACCACATCCTAATATGGACTAGTGTGCTGCAGGTGGGGCCTTAGGAGATAAAGAAAGAGAGTTTAAAGGTAAAGCTGATTTCAAACATTACTATATGCATGCTATGGAGACTCGCAACACGAAGCTTGGCGCCGACCATCCTAAGACTGACAAGTATGGCCGACCTAACCTATACTGTATGTTTAGATCATCGGGCTGAAATAAAGCCGCTATCTTTCGATTTGCCCTGTAGAGATGGGTCGCTATGTTTCGATGGTGGAAAACATGAGATGTAATCATAGAGATTAGTAGAGGTCATCGACAACTGCTCTGAAGGGATTTTTGACCATCGTTTAACTCAGAGTCTCAAATTCCTGTCCTCCGTATCGCGAGGGGTCAATCTATATTCACCGCAACTTCTCGAGGAAGGAGATGATCCGTCATTAAATTCCCAAAATGGCGCCGGGCGACATTGTGGAATTTGTGCTTTGTTTTAAGGATTTTGAATTTTCCTACGTGAATTCTGTTTCCGAAACCGGAAGTAACGCATTACAAACACAAATCAAACATAAAATCTTGATGCCTTATACACTATGATTTCAAAGGTCGATATTTGAAAGCGATGCAACAGCGCGTCGCAAAAATGAGGCCACTCTGGGAGTCCAATTTGAAGCCCCCTACTCACATTTGGGTCACTGGAATTCTTGGTTAGATTCGGGTATTTCATTAGGTACCATGGCATCCTCATCTATATGGTTACATACTAGCACTTTACTTAAAACAGTTAAATAAAAAGCGTGAGGGGGTTCTCCACCATCACCCAGGATAAATAGCTCTGATGATCCGGTCTATCACTCTCATCTACATATTAACCTTTTTACACACGCAAATGGCCCATCTTCCGTACAAACGAAGACGCCGGACCGAGAAAAACACCCCTTATTATGTTCAAAAACACCCTTCCTACAAGCAATCTGTATACTCCAGGGAACCATCTGCTACTTATTTAAAACAGCCAAAGACAGACATGGTGAATTACCAAGTCAAGTCCTCTGATACACCGAAACGGGTTAACCTACCACTACTGAAACGAGCACATCAGTGCCTGGATATTGCGGATAAGGCATGGTGGACCATTCCAGAGACAATGCCCAAGCCGTGTGTTAAGTCAGACCATATACCACAAGAACCCAAGAATCGTGAAGCTTGGCTTCGATGTTTACGCCCCAGACATACTTCTCGGGTAGCCCTGCTTCAAGATAGGTCTGGTAAATAGGAGTGCGTTGTCAGGATGGATTTTTATCAGACTTTGGCCACTAGAATAGTGAGCAAAAAGTGTTCTATATGATGGTTAGCAGGCGAAATAAAGATTTCAGTGTCTTTATAAATGCTCGTTGGCCCTCGCCATCAATTATCAAGTCAAATATCATTGCTATCATTAGTTACGTAAACCGGTATCACCTTTCCTCTTCTTTCTAAGCAATGAGGCTAAAGCGACAATCCCTTGTTTGGTCTCTTCCATTAACCCTGGGATTTCTAAATCCTTTCTAAGATTGTTTATCGATGAACCGCTAAACGTCCCTAATTGCATGACCAGGCTCTTTTGAACTATCGCTATAGTGCCGCTCGAAATCAGCTTCATGTCTATTTTCTTTTCTTTTCTTTCTTAAACTTTATCTTACATAACACTATATCTATTATAGTTAGATTACCCCCTAATATGATGCTTAGCGGTAATCTAGTACGATCGTAAATAAACGAATAAAAATAGTCTTTATATTATATTATATAGGCTATTCGTTATCGAGGATTAAGTATTATAAATAAGTCAAATAATATAGATAGGGGTTAACCACCTCTAGAGCATTTATTCCCCCCTTTACTTAACTAGACCTGGACAAAACCCGCGGGATTCCCACCATGGGACTGACCGTGGCACGGGTATTTTCAGGAAAACCAGTCCCATGGGAGTGGGGCGTGGTGGTCAAAAGCACTTAGTCCCGTCCCATGGGCGGGACTAGGGGGTATGTCCCGCCCGCGATGGGACACGGGTATTCCCACGGGTATTGTAAACAGTGCAAACTTACCCTTTTTAGACATGCATCAATTATCCAATTTCTTCTGTATTTTTGGTAGTAATCTATATACGCACGTGACTATAACTATGACTAGAATTCTACTAGAACTACTAAATTCCACTAAAACCACCCTTTTTCTAAGGTTCTAAGTTCGATTCTAGCTCTATATTACATACCAAAACAGCTTAAATTACCAATCTTTCAGCATTCTTAGTTAGCAGATTATATAGGGACTTTATGTAGATATGGGTAATTTTGCGACTCCCATGGGAAACCCGTGGGTATACCCAGGACGGGAAATCGGTAAAAAAAAATCCCAGGAGTGGGGCGTGGTGGTCAAAACCATATTATCCCGGCCCGTATGACTAAGGACCCGCGGGCACGGGACAAGAATTTAGGACCTCCCGCGGGTTTTGTCCAGGTCTAGTTAAGAGTTAATAGTGTGTATAGGAATATAATTTCTAACACCTTAGGCGGAGGGCGAAGGGCATATTCTATCGATATAACCCTCTGGTATTCTGTATTCATGGATAATGATACTATAGCCGCCTTTATTTATCGCGAGATTATAATAATCATAATATGCTAGAATCGGCTAGCCATCTCTAATGCAGTTTTCATCGACGATAGCATCTAGCCTAGACCCTTCTCCTTACTCTACTAAGTTAGTTCTAAGGTTAATCATCATGTGACTGACATGGTTAGTTTGGGACGGGTTGACCTAGAACAATTCGGTCAAGCAGGGCCAGCGATAATTAGTTAAAAGTTTCTAGTAAAAGCGCTTTAGCCTCATCATCCGAAGACGCTACAGCCTCCTAGTGATTTTAAATGCATATTCTGAGAATCACCAGATTCTATTTTATGATTGCTTGTTCAATGGTTTTTAAGTTGGGACTTAGATCTCCTAGGTTTTAGTGTACCTATCGGCATATATTTAATAATATAAGCTAGCTAGATTAGTAAGTAAGCACATAAGGTGCACGCATAGAGATAGATAACAATCAGATAGACACATATTCGACCGGATATCTAATTAGTCCAGACCCACCGCCCTAATTCCGTATTCTAATAGTACCCCGCTATTAGGTGATCAATCTAGATGCAGAATAACCGAACGTCTTGATTACGTGACCTATATCCCCTCAGCGAGGCAGGCTTTCTTTTCGTTTGCCTTGATGATAAGTAGACGGGTGAAGGAGCTTTATACTACATTTACTTAGCTCCCGTGGAAAGACTGCTTAGAGTGATGAACCGTGAAGGCTCACTATTACAATAATAGTAGGTAACCATTGTATCTATGTTTCTGCAAATTACAGCCCCACAGCTGGTGCTATTTATCGTTATAATACATTTCGAGGTGTCATTATAAAGTAAGACTAATATGAACTAGCGTGTTTCGGATTAAAGTTCAAAGAAGAAAAGAAAAGAATAACAAGGTGAAGCTGATTTCGAGCGGCACTATATCAGTAAATGTCTCTTGATCACAACTAACATCGCTGATTGTAAAAAGAGCGTAACGTAGTTATCGAAATCAGTTTTCCAGTGTATCCGGAAATTGGTGTCATCCCTTACGCTCTTTCATTTTTTTAACCCTAATGCCAAGAGGACGCTATACAACCTTTCCTCATATGACTTGATATTGGTGTCGGAACACGTATTCAGGGTGGTGGGTCCGGACCAATAGATTTCCGGTCGATTGTATGCCTGTCTGATTATTCTCTATCTCTAGGCGTGCACCAATATGTGCTCGCTTACTAACCCAGCTCGCTTACATCATCAAATATGTGCCGTCGATTAACTAGACTGCCGTTCAATATCTTACAATCAGCTAAATCGAAAGTAGACTAGCGTCTTTTGGGATTGATTTTGGGAAACAACTCAAGAGTAGAGTGGTGAAACTGGTCACGAGCGCCCCTGTACCTGTTTGGCCTATATAGTGATGATATCTATTCTATTCTCCATGTTATCATCTCAGGACTGACCAAAAAGCAAACTATTTCATCAAGGGTGAAATTGACCCACTGAGCCCCTCGTGGTGGAGAAACTACGAGCAAAGCGAATTCATCAATCCTTCGCCGGATCATCAACGGAATTCTCTGGGTGAGCCCTGGCGCTCTGTTTGGTTATCAAAACATTTTTTACCAGGTGAACAACGAACAGGCCCGCAAAATGCTGGCATTGTTCAAAAAAGATTTTGCCGAGATTTTGCTTCTGTAGCCAAATTGCTGGAGCCATGTCCCCTCCATATCTTACAAGTGGTCTTTCTTTCTTCCTTTCAGTCAAGGGAATGATGATATAAAGAGGCGCAATTCTCCAGACCAAAGCATCCACACTGGTGGTTCCAATCATCAGGTCGATGGCAAAGTTCAGTCCCAATCATGCGGAATTGCCGCAGATGAGTGAAGCCCAGCTATCGCCCCCGTACGCACCACTGGAAAGTAGTGATCTATTTGCCATTCATACCGCGAACGAGGACCCAGGGCAATGGAAGGTAATTTTGACCTAGCAAAACGCGCGTCTATACTAACTCATCAATATCAGTTACATGACCCGCCTTATTATCATAACCAACCACCAGCCATGGTGGACCCGTTTCGATCCCTTATCGATGAAATAGGACTGCTCAACCAGGGAAATCCCCAGGGTACGCAGCATGCCGAGGAGATACTAAGGCTCTATTCGACGCTGTGGGAATGCTTTATCATGAAAAGGGCTGAAGTCCATGACCTGGAGAAGGAAAATGAGATGCTGCGTGCATCAAACATCCAGTTATGTCAGGAGCTAGAAACCTTGGAACGTCGTCACATCGACAAGGAGGCGTTGCTGGCCTGCTACGGTAGAATACATGAAAAGGTGCGCGAAGAAATTGTGCGGGTGCTCAGCGAATGGAACGGTTGCTCTCCGTATGCAACTTTGGAGACGTCAGCCAATGGTGTCGGTCACATGGGCTAAAAGCCAATGCCAGGGCAGGAGCACTTCATCAATTTATTTTACATTACGCGAGTCGAAGTCAAATGGCGAAAAGATATTTATCTCCTGAAGACAAATAAGAAATTCGCTGCATGCAATCATTACTTAATTTTGTAGGCTTGTTCTGTTATTCCTATTAATCGTTCCGTAAGTTGTGATGGATGTAAAGATATGATTTAGAACTATGCTTAAAGGTATCACGGTGATCGAATCCAGAAACATAATGGATGAAGTCAAAATACAGTGAAAATGGGCTGACGGGATACTTGGCTACCGCTTCATCAGTCGAGTCGTAATTGTGGATTTAAACTACTGACGTATTGTGTTGCTACCTAGATTTATGAACAGAATGAATATGAATTTCTGACTTTTTCAGAGTTACGATCACAATATTTGGGTGGTGAGTTCCAGGGAATTGTCATCTAAGAAAGGCAATCTCGCCCCAATGATATGAGTTGGCTGGCGCCTGAAACTAAAGGCTTTTGCGGGATGAAAATTTTCCATGACTGGAACCCTCCGCAGGAAAATTCATGATTTATGGTAGTGGTGATGTCAAGTGTTGTGATGGAACGCAACAGTATATTTTGGAAGCTACTCAATCTTTCCTAACGAGAGAGACTGGTTGCCCAAGTCGAGCATTACTTATTTAAACAATCCACAATGCTAGTTTATTTTCTCTAGCTTTTGCGAGATTGAAATGACTTCGTTTGAATACACTCTAAAAGTATGAATATTAATTACCAACGCGGTTAATCTAAATATGGCATTGGTCAGTCTGCTAGAATTGCACAAAAAATAAAAAGATGAATTGGGTCTCAAAGCGAGCCGACCTAGCATCATAAAAGAGACATAAGGCCCCAACTTCCGTATGGCCTTACTGTTTTCCAGAAAGGTCACAGATTTCGCCATAACGATATCACCCTTCATCGACCTTCAGGGTCACAACCGATGATGAAGAACTTGGCCAACCAAGGTATGTTCTAATATCTATGAGTGTGATGATGATCAAAAAATAACGAATCTATTTCATAAGACTTCTCTTTGGATCTTGATATTGAAAATTTATGGAGAGAATTTTCCGATGTCCCAACGCCTCCTCCTTGCCTTGCAGCCGGTCATGCATCTCCGAAACAGATATCCCACACGATAGTCCGATTCCATAGGTCGTCATCAGTCGAAAATGTCTTCTACCCTGAGTTTGAGAGCGAAAGTTGGTTTAAATGGCCGGGACCGGATCCATTATTCCCTCAAACACGCGCCGATGATATTTTCCTCTACCTTTCTGCTTTCCTCATTTTGGAACAAGTTGATTGGATGGAACTACGTCTGTGCAAAGTCAGTCAAACGACAGAGGAGATAGCAGACCAATATCTGTTCTTTCTGTCTCGGAATGAACCGACCTTGAGAAGTCTGCCGTGGGTACGTCGACAAATATGGAACATCATCTCGCTTGATGAGAATATCCCTGCCGCAGGGGTTTATAGTTTTCGGTTATTCATACGCCCGCGACGTGAAAGTCCACATATGACCAGTGAGAGCACTTTACCACACCTTGATTCCGCTGCGCGAGCACTTTACGTCTAAACCCGACTTTTTGTGCACAACAATGCTGCAAACCTTCCATGTCGATCGAACAGTGTGCAGCCTGAGAGGAAGGACGAGAGAGGATTTGCCTTTTTGAATGGCATGAAAGGCAGAAAAGCGATCACGGAAATCTCCAGAAAACATTGCATTTCGATTGGACTTAGTAATCTACGAGACTACGAACAGCATGTACGACCTTGTTAATTGATAAGAAAAGGGCTTATCCTCATTGAAAAATTTGTCTTCATGGACTCGCCGTGTTAAGATAAGAAGAATCTGTAGAGCACGGAGACATCTGATACTGACTGATTTGGTACAATCAAATATGCACCAGAATCGAGAAGAGTAATATTTTCAGTCTTTATATTCCGGACCTTCATTCTGAATGGAAACGGCGGGTAAGAATAGTAACTTTAGAATTCAACGAATGTAGACATTAAACCGCAAGATGAGGTTTCTGTAATAACATAAACCTTATTTACTATATCCTTGGGCCCCAACAGAATGACGAGAAAGGACCCAAAACCTGCAGGACGAAGTAACATCTCTAGCCAATAATTTGATGATATGTTAGCTCAGGCATAAGGCGACTCCATTAAGCTGCCTTCTGGGCAAATTGACAGAAAGTTTGAATCATCAACCATAATATAATCACGAAGTAAAGGATCCTCAACGTTCGCCGCACAGTAATCTTTGCTTGCCATTCCACAGCAGAGCGTTGTTTCGCCAATCTGAATACCGCAACCTGGTTTCTGATACCTCTTCTGGACTAGAAACTGTTGTCTATGATATCGGTTTTCATGAGAAAAGTCTCCCAAAGCCAAGACCTGCAACCTCGTCAAACCGGTCGGGCCAAATGCCCACTCAGCAAACTGGAGAAATTCATGTGCCTCGGAAGAATGACGAACGCCCTGCTTTTCCAAAAAGGGCTTATTGCAACTTCCTTCTCCCGGACAGGTAATAGAGTCCTCTATAATGTCAGGGAGATCGCTCGGGCTTGATGAGCACGATTGGAACTCAAAGTAATGGTCTTGACAGCAATCGTATGAGCACCACGCCCGCCTCTGGCATGTATGAGTAATTATTTCCTGTTGTATATCTCTGTGGAGCTTCTCAGATCCACTGAAGCGAAGATGGAGAACGCGCAAATTGGAAGTACTGGCGAATGGCTCGAGTGCCAATCGCTAAATCTGTCAGAAGATCCACGGTGTAGGACTAGAGTACTTACCACATCCGAGGGGGATGCACACAGCCCTAAAGCATAAATGTGAGATATTGAAACAACGTTCGTTAGACGCGGAGTCCAGATTGGTTGCTGGTCTCGGGTATCTTCAAATAATCCTTCATCGTCGATAGACACCAGCTCGCGATCATGATAAATGAGACTTTCTAATGTGGACCGATGGTTTGTGATGCCGATTTCGACTTGGGATACATCGGAAAAATTAGACAGTTTGAGATGCAAATGTTTCAATCCCTTAAAGGAAAGTAGGAAGTCCACCAAGAGGTTGACCTCGCTATTTTCACTATTATAGTGAAGCACAGTGTCACAGCAGAATTCAAAAAGGCGAAGTCGCATCGTGGTTTGAAATCGAGACAAAAAGCCCAATAACTTAACGTCGTTTGCACAATCGCGTAGCTTAAGTGACTGAAGTTGACAAAAAATTGATGCATCGACTGGTCGTAGTTCCAGGGGCAAGGAGGCCTTGGAGAGCATCAAGCAGACCAAACGTGGGAAACAAGGAGGGGCGGAATCAGTTATCTCATCTCGGGAGACAGGACCGGACATTGGTAATCCAAAAACAGCATGATAGAAATCAAGCGTGGGAAACTCCGTGGCAAAACTGATCGACAGTTTGGTTAGGTGTGCGCTGTTCCGTGTAATGCATTTTCTTAGAGATTCAATCTCTGCTGGATGCTGAATTCCCTCCCAGCTTAATGATTTAAGTGATGAAAGTTCATGGAGTCCGTTCAGGCAGCCACCAGCATGAGGGCAAGATCCATCAGTAACCAAAGATAAGTATGAAAGCTGTTTCTGTTGCTTGCTAAGAAAGCCACCTGAATCCAAAAAGCCCGCAGGAATACAAGTTCCGAGACGCCACCTATAGATAGTCAATAATCCTCTGTGTATGTGCAAGTTAGTACTCACTATGACACTTACTCGAAAGAAAGAAGGTAACTTGGTTGGAGATGAGAAAATATGAGTTTAAGCTGACGTGAAATGTCATCTAAGAATTGTTCATGAGCTTTCGCCTCATTGGAAGTCCCCAGACTCCCAGATCGTCGAGCTAGTCCACTGTCGCGGAAAACATTGTAATATGCACAACGATGGAAACGGGCAATTTGAATAGGCGCAGATATACTCAAGTTCCTTGCATGCTCGAGGTTAAACCGATTCCCTGATTGCCGATGCAAGGCAAAGAAGGTATCAATATCGAGGACATTCAGCGCCCATTCGCTAGCAGCACGAAAAGTGAGTGTACGATACGACAGAGGGGCTAGAACAGAATATAATCTAGAAGAAACCTGACTTAGAGAACGGACGGTTTCGGGTGCCAGCTGACGGGGTTAACTTCAAAAGCGAAAGCGATTGCAGAAGTACTACTTACCCATTCCGCAATGCTTGACAGAATTTCGTATGGGAGAGTTTCGAGCATTTTAAGTAGAAATGGAATAGTAGACAGACGACATATATTGCAATTCTGAATAGAAGAATTTATAGCTGTCTGAGGGACAACAATATGACCCGTGATTGAATTTGAATTTGGATCAAGTCAGGCATATTAAGTTATCGGGGATGCAAGAGGTTCATTCCGAAGTTGTCAGTTCAATAGTGCAACTATATTTACAAAACAATAAAGCACACTAAGGCGCAATTTATAAGAGTGTAATCAAAGAATAAAATAGTCAATTATATTACTTTGCCTACCTGTGAGGGCCTTGTCGAATTTCCTAGCCGATATATTATGGGAATGGTCAAATCTTTTATTTTTTTTTATTTGAGAACCTATTACTTCTCAAAACATGGAAAAAGAGATAACAACAAGATCCATATTCCTTTGTAGAGGAATGGCAAGCGCTGGACTTTGGAACTCAAATTAAAACAATGAAAGCAGACGCACATTTAATTGCCAAGTGCTGAACCGAGTGTTTACGATATCACTTTTGGGGAAGATAAAATGGTAGTGGTTGTTACAACCTATAACGATACTAGACTTTGTCTAATTGGAAGGTCTCCCTTGCTAATTTGAAATAAGCCAAATTGATCAAATTGGATTTTCCACATTACTATCTCCTTTCTTTTTACTAGTGAGAACATGATATCAAGAGCCCCATAGATAAATCGAAGGCATTCTCCTGCAAGTTGCATGCACCTGGGTTCCATATATAGGGAAAACTTCAAAAAGCTACCACCACATATCCATCTAGCTCATCCAAGAGCGTACAGAAGAAAGCCTACCCGTCACATATATTTATCTAATGCATTGGCTATTGGGCGTGAAAAACTGGTTCTTCGCCAGGTGTGTATAGATCTCTTTTCAATGGATATAAATGCTGCTAATTTCGTTCGTGAACAGATGCAGATTCAGAGACTATGGATCTATCGGGCGACAAGATGAAGAAACCGCTCTTATCAACGAAAATGCAGAGCAAAATTCTTGGAAAGACCCTAGGATGGAAGTATTACGGTGCGAGCGATGTAATGGCACCCGATCATCGAGATATCTTGAAAATCATTGGAGAGATCCTGACAATTATCCTTCCGTTGGAGTTTGCTCGAGGAGTAAAACAGGATGCGCTGCACATAAAGGAAACTTTGCAGTACTTCAGGCTCATCAACAGAGTTCATGCCAGATATATGAGCTTCCAGTAGCTTGAGATGAAGTTAACGCAGGGATGAAATATAGTTGGCTTTAGTTCTAATATAATTGCCTATTCATTGCTGTTCTTTGCTATCAAGAGGCCATGGTTGATATTTCGACATAACACTGATTCGCAAGGACTTTGTTGTAAATGTTCCTAATGGCTTCTGTTTGATATTCTTTCGTCTGTGAAGGTTGAAATTCGATAATGATGGGTTATAGCAATCTGCGATACAATTCGTGAATTGTGATTGCTATTTGGACCTGATAAGTGTAGCTCGCTATCTCTTAAAACTAGAACAAGAGGCATAGTCAAAAATGTAGATTGTGGTCGGTTCCCGGAGCTACTGCATTTTTGTGGTAGCCTGCAAATCGCTCTGCGAGGGGCTTTCTAGGATGGGAGTCATCTATCTGCCTACTAATTGAATGCGGAATAATCCATCTATTCACGTCCATGAAGTATTTTAGGTAGCCAGCGAGTTTTGCTAGTCTCACTCAATGTAGCCGGTCTAGGCGTTCAAGGCCTGCGGGCATTGGAGCTTAAAGCACGGTGACTTATAGGTAGAATATCAGAAGGCTCTAAAATGTTTTTGAATTTGAAGTTTTGGTGAGACTTAGTCCCATGACGGGACACATTTCAAGCCTATTGTAAGAGAATGGGACCAGCAGGGGGTTGGATCAACTTGTCACTCCGGTGAAGCAGGAGAGACGAAAGTCATGACATTCAGCCTTGTCAATTGACGTCAAGAGGACTACCCTGACATGCTATCCAACATGGACTTAGAGTAGACAACCGCACTATACGCCAAGACCAGGTGCATAGCGTATAAGCTAGGTTTCCAGCCGACAATCACTCCTAGTCTTTCTAGTGGCCTCAGTAGATAGTTGACACCGCCAAGGGTGCTGCAAGCGATGAAGCGACAGAATTGAAGTGCCAAAGGTGTAGGGGTGAACACGGTGTTGGTAATGGTGTTGATTGTAGGCACCAATGACAGGAGGATCAGCAATGCACACTGGTAAGGAAACCTTTCCCTGGCGAGCGACGCACTATAATCCTCGTCAACAAAGTCGACCATGTACCCAACAGCCGCCAAAACCAAAGCACATATGTATCCGATTTGAATTGATGACTGAGAAGGAAATTGAAGGATCGCAAAATGAATAGCTGTCATGCTTATAAAAATCAATCCCCCGATAAATTCAAGCTTTTTCCAGCTAGCGATGACATTGTATTGAAAAGCAGCGACGATTCGGTATATTAGGCTCGCAAGGCACCAAGACATAAAACCCCAGCAAAATATAATCACTGAGAGTGAGCTGAGAATGGCTTCAGGTGACGATGGAAAATGGAAGATCAAAAACTGAATTAAGAGTAGAAAGAAGTACGAGGCTCCGAAGATGTTGATGATAGCCACTATCAAACAATCGCGTAGGTTTTCCTTCTGTAGATTGGCCATTGTGGGTGATGTTGGGGTTGTACAAGCAGGGAGTAAAAGGATACCTGGTCTTATATATAGCAGCAAGCTGGACCAGGCTATTTAGTATATCAGGGGGTTTGTAATAAAAATAACTAAAATGCCGCTTTCTTAATGAGCAAACGACCGGGCACGAGTTTTGTGGATGGCTGAAAGACCTGATGTAATCTCATCTCCAACCGGCCAAAAAGGTGACAAAGAGCAGCGATTTGAGATCTTGCTATAGGGTCATCTGAATACAATGAATGTTTCAATGTCAAGTTGCACAAGCGCACTATATTGATTGAAAATTAATCCCATTTTGGTCAAATGTGATTAATCTAAAACCGTCATTACCTATACGCCTTGAATCCCACAGTTTGACCTATGACAATCATTCATGATAGAATTCACTAGTAAGGTGAAAAGCCTGGGAAAAGGCGAAACCTGTTTTTAGTAGCTTTGTCCCTAGTATTTCCATTGGGTCAAATCCACCTGCCATTACAAAGTTTCAAATGCAGGTTCCTCTACGCATTTCCTCAGTAACCAGAATGACTATTAGATCTGCTAATTAGTGTGGACTCGTTCCAGTATATCCCTGCCCGGACTCAGTTTTACTTGTGTACTCTCTTTTCTTCTTTTATGTAGTGTTATAAGCCACGCCAATCTCTTTTCGACTTGGTGTGCACTACTTAGCGAAATGCGCATCCTTGCCGACGACTGTTTTTCTTTAATCGGGACACACTGCTAGGGCAGCCACCGATGTTCGCCGCCCAATATTCAGCAATGGACGTGAATTCATTGAGGGAACAATACTGTAGATTGTCTAGGTCGGGGAAATTGAGTTAACATCGGGCGGTGCGGGTTATGTGCTGCGACATAACATGACCGTACAGCTGTGTAATCAGGGCGGTGGAGCTAGACCAATAGATATCCGGTCGAATTCATATGTCTGTCTGATTATTCTCTATCTCTGTGCGTGCACCATATGTGCTCGCTTACTCATCTAGCTAGCTTACATCATCAAAATATGTGCTGACAAGATATGTCAACTAGTGAACTAGACAGTGAAGAGGGGAACGAGGCCCTAGATATACCCAAGTCCTCCATTCCAGTACTAAACCGGCGTCATGATATAGGTCGGAAAAACCTCTTCTGTTCTGTCCAGTAATATCAATCAACGGGGGTTCCCACTATATTAGTTATGTACTAACTAAAAAATATGCCTTACTAAGTAAGCTGGGCGCTTTTTTGGTAAAGTGCCAGATTCATGTGATTTCTGCGTGCGACAAGCTAACGCGCCCATTCGTCTAGCGCTTGAAAGTGTAATTACCGTGAGAATAACTAGGTAAAGCTGATTCCACGTGGCTCTATAACTTGTAGGTCCGTATTCCGCTCGATGTTCGTACCATATGTCAGAAACGTTGGATTCAAGAAGATTTCGAGCCTAGCTTATCAATTTGGCCTAGAAGACCTCACAGTCATTTCAGTATTGGGGCTTGAGATCGGTTCCGTATGTAAAATATTCAAGCCAACTTCAAATATTGCTGTACATGTGGCAAGCATATGAGTACAGTAAGACTTCCCTACGCTCCTAAGCTGGTGTCCTCTACCCTACTCAGGTTCCTAGGAGCTCGTAGAGTTCAATTTTACATGTGTATATTAATGGGGCTGCTCTCTCTACGGAAGTTCACGCCCATCAACTTCTTCCCTCTCACCACCATGCTATCGCTGTTTATTGCCCACGCAATACTGCGTACGTCGCTGTTGCTCTTCAGCGGCATTCGATTCGGTTTTTGTGTAACTTCTCAAGAGAATTGGTCACTCCGGAGGCTAGACGTGGGTTTATCTGCTCTTCTTTGCCTTATACTGGTCTCGCTTGTGATAATGGGCTCGACCAATGCAGGATCGACGTGGACGAAGATTTGCATCGGTACCGCCTCTATTATCCCCCCTTTACAAGCAGTATGAAGCTCTACTTTACAAGCCTTTCTCCGAGTTTCCATTAACACCTGTAGGACCTTCGTATACTCCATCTACAGAGCAGTCTTCCGTCAATCTCTAAGATGCTGATCATCTTGTGCTCTATTGTGGCGGTTTTTTCCAGTCTCGCTAAGATCTTGTCTACTTTTTTGGGAACGTTTACTTCAGCTCCTATTTACCTGGCATTGCTATTTCTTCTGTGCTTGGATTACGTTGGAGTAGCATGCTGGTACTGGTGGTTGATTGGACTTACCTCCCCCAACAATCAAACTCGACCGCAGATACAGCATATATTAATCAACGCTTCTGTGATGGCTATGGCTCTACTTGTTATTGCCTTTACGGCCACCGCTTGGAGTATTTCCCAGCTAGCTCTCGAGGTATACCTATCTAGTTCCGTACCATCCAGAAACAACACTAACTCATCGGGCAGCTCCAACTTGCCATCATCTGTTCCTGGTCAGCTTTTCTGAACTTCATGGAACGAAAGAACACAGCACCTGCTGGGCTTGAAGGAGTGTGACTGCCGACTTTCGATCACCAAATTATCCAAGCGATCCGTTGCTACAGACGAAAGTCTAGCATAGCAATAATTAGAAGTGATCTCCCTATTCTACGCAGAGAAAGTATCTCCAGCCCCATTTCCAACATGATGATGAACCCAGGTAGTTCAAACTCAGCTAGGGCGCAGATACTTCTTTATGACAATCTGGCCGCATGGAACGGAAGATTGGATACAGTAATCTACGAATCATCAAAATCACCCCTTCATTCGGAGGAATTTCGAAATTTTTCAATACAAATCTAGACCTGCGGGCTCTTGTAATCTTACCATCAAAGGACTTTTGAGATGTTAGCTCTTTATTATGCACGTAACGCGTCCAGGAATTGCAGCATGGGTCGAACGAGGTTCCATTATTTTGCTCTCTTTGGTTGCTACTCGAACTCTACTTTCAATAATACTATGTCAAATCTAGCTAGTGAACAATAGAACCTTGCCTACAATTTCTCTTCATTCGACAGTCCACGATTGTCTGAGCAAAATTTTGAAATTTAATTTCAGCGGATATGTAAGTGCAGCAAACAGATTGGAGTGTTTTGATGGAGAATCCCTAGACACTGCTAGCCTAAGCCGCAAACGATTTGAAAAGTCCACACTGTTTGAACAATCTGACTGCTATCTTTAACTTTTTTGATTTTGCTTTTGCCGTAAGTTTTCTTTTGATAGACTTGGGCATATACTTAATGACCAAGGGCAAAGCTGAGAAGGCTCTACTGTAGGCTGGATGGTGGCGTTGTAAGCCTTCTTGTAGGATTTTACCCAGGTTTTGAGTTGAATGTGTCTTATGTTTCACAAGATCAATCAGCAGATCTTGCACATTGCGCTGGCTAGCGTTTCCTTCCTGTAAATGTTTGCATCGACTATTTGAGATAGATGCACCTGTTGAGATGTGTCTATCTCCCGCCCGAACCTGCTCTGTGTGAATTATCGTGTTTATAAATGTGTCTGCAATTCCAACAAATGTGTTCAGAGTCAATTTATGGGAACCCTTGTATCTCACTGGAGCATGCTCTGTCATGTGAATTGATTTAAGTAAGCCAAGTAACTCAATCCCAAATATAATTGGTGAGAAATTATCCGTCGCAGCCCCAGTATATGTTTTGTCAAATTGTTCATCGAAAATCATTCTGTCCGGCGATGATGTTCTCTTGTTATTTGTGGGCGAAAGGTCAGGTAACTTAGCCATATCAGTTACCTCTGATCTTGCCACGTCGCAGTGTTCGGAATCCATTTGTCTCGGGTACTGGTTCATTGTATTCATGTGAAACAGCCTGTGCTGGTGATTCTGTAAAGACAAGGAAAGCATCCCTGTATCGGGGATAATGGCATTTGTAGAGGACCACACAAAATCTTCATTCGGGTCTAATGGAGGATGAATTGGTGGTGAATACATTCCAGTGACGTTTCGCTCCGATCTGATCTCGGGCTGTAGACGAGTCGTGTTGCAACTGCAGCTGAAACAATGTCTGTAAAATTGGTTGGTGCTAGCTTCCTACTAGTGGTTGATCAAAGGTATTCATAGTTATTTATGGCTACCGAGGAGTGCGAATCAATAACCCCTGCGGAGTGGGCCCTCATGAATATGCACATTCTTAGAAGTCATTGGAGCTATGATATCAATTGCCGATCCGGAAACGAAATGCGGGCTGAGGCTAGTGAAGTTCACTTCTTCACAAAACATCGTTCTATTCGAAAAAATTTCATAATGTCCCTATATTCTATAATCTAGTCTGCTCCAGTTCTTTCATTAAAATGTAACCTCCGCCTTGAATTGAATCACTTATTTTAGAATTAAGGACTGATCTATTGCTGAAATGTAACGACCGCTCATTAGTGACAATACAAGCTTTGGGATACAGGACTGATGAATTTACAAAGCCGGCAGTCAAAAAGATTTGGGGGATGCAGAACCATTATCTGGCAATTATTCAGTGAGCTGATTTCGAAAAACTACTGTGAACTGGACGGCATTTTTGCTCGGTTCATCAAATATGTTCATGGACAAACCAGCTGTATAAAAAATGGGACTCTGTATAGTAATTGCAAATCATATACGCGACGAGGCTGCTGGATAGTCAATTTGCATCTGGTTTGTGCAGTCCCATCTAGAGAAGCTAAGTGTAACATTGTTGCATGTTGATCGACGTTACACTATAAATTTTCGAACGAGAACCTTCCAGAACTCAGGTGACAGAGGTAGTGGGGGGAGACGAGTGGTGGGGCCCATTGACTTACATATTTAATATGCATATCCGGTAGTCATTAGCGGAGAGCAAACAATCTTGTCAGTATATAATATGGTAGGATGCATAGTTCTACTTGAAAACCATTGACGAACTTATGCAAACTTTGTTCACAAATCTTCCCGCACATTTGAAGTGGATAAACAGTGATCATGCCAAACCATCAAGAGGAACCCTTCCATAATAAGTGTTCTGCTGCCAAAGCTTGTTGTTTAGTGGAACTATTCCAACAGTTGCAAAATTCCTGCATGATACAATCCGCACGTTGCTGTGCTCTTCAGGACGAGAACCGAGTGCTTGATGTGGCGAATATACGACTTCGCCAGATACAAAGGGATCTCCAGTATCACTACGTTAATGAGGATCTGTTGGTTGCTTCCTATGACCAAGAATTTGAGGTCTTATGGAGAGAGCTGATTGAAAATTTGATTATCGGTACGAGAGGGCGAGTTACTTAACGCTTTGCGAGGAAATCCCAAGTCGATTCACTTGTTACAGTACAGGCGTCTTTCCAATAAACTTCACTTCTCTACAGCAATATCAAAAATTGGCTTCATTTTTTACACTGGGAGAGTATTCTAATATCTTTCACGAACATCGCACGTTATTAGGCTAGCAAACTAACAGATTCCAAAAATTATAGGAATTTCCATATACTCTCGGGGTATGGGACTTAGGCTGCTGCTTCGACATGTTTTAGTTCATTAGATACGAAGCATTTCCTGAATACCTCTACCCCTGTTAATTTAGAATGTATGGTTCTTCGTTAATACAATGGAACCTTAGATGTCAGATATGACATTAAACATGATCACTATAAGAGAAGCAGAGCTGGTCGGCTTTGCGATGAGCAGAGTTTGGCAATTTGACTTTTTCTTTTCTATTACCAAGTAGAGTTCTACTCCAGAGCGATGAAAATGTAAGGGCCAACATTGGTACAGTAATGAAGTAGCGCGATAGGACTGTGCGCCTACTTGTTTTGCGGTGCTAACTGGCCACAGTGAGTATCGCTTGTTGGATCTGTGTACGTACGGCGATGCTCGTGCTTCAGTCACTCCGCAACCATATCGTTGTCGCGGCATGTTTTTGCAGTGGCTCAGGTCTATAGAGTAGACTCTTATTGGGCTGCGTTAGGTAGTGCGCCAAGTCAAGCTATACTTAACATCTGACGCTAAGTCCTCAGAAACAATGCATAATTCAACAAAAGAATTGGAAAATATATGGCGATAAATTTTTTTATATCCCCTTGGAGTTCCTACTTCTACACTCTGGAAGTATATCGTAGAGTCGCCTGGGCATACTTCTGACGGTCGGCACGAGAGTCACGATCACGTGTGGCCATTAATTGTAACGTGGTTTAATGGAGAATATGTTCAGTAGACCTTTTCCGTGCTGAGGAAGGCTTAAATATGGTATGAATCCGTTGTGGACAGGAATGCCGCCCTATCAACAAACGAGAAGCTCTGAAAGCTCACACACTCACCCCTGGATAGAATGTAGTTGTCTAAGTGTTTGATGAGAAATTTGCTATCAGTAAATCACCGAAGGATGAAATTACACTGATCGCCGAACTGGCATGTTGATGGAATTGGGATGGAGATAGGAGAAGAAAGCATGAAAGACACATCGGCGGATGAAGCCTGCGCTAACCCGCTGACCCGACCAACTCTGGCTCAATGACTCATTAGAAAGTGCAAATAGATCAGCATCGACAGAATCGGTAAAAGGCTTGCCAGATCGCCTTTCAATCTCCACGTCATCTTCGCCATCTGGAGGAAAGTCGCATGGTATAGCGCGAGGAAGCTCTGTCCCATCGTACTGATGATTTTCAATCATGGGAACAACAAAGCCGTAACTCTGAGCTAGAGCAAAGAGATGATGTAAAAGAAAAAGCGGGTCACCGCTTGGTCTCTCAATTAAGCCATATTCGAGCGCACGTATTTTGTCTTTGCTTTTTCGCGGGACACGACGATAGTGTTCTCTTTTGCTCGTCAGCTCGAATGCATACTGTAGACTGAACCTCCAAAGATCACAAAGTTGCTCGCTTGGATCTATTCCTTCCCAGGGGAACAATCCTGGCAAGTCTCCAATATAATTATTCCTCAAGACTTTGTCGATAGTATTTTCACCTTTCGGAGGAGTGAAACATAACTGTCGCATGACCGTTTGGCCAACATCTAGGAATAAAATATCCTGAAAGAATGTCTCAAGTGTGGGAATCGGATAATCTATATTCTTCAAACGTCCCCAGATCATTAAGCGATCTTGCTGATTCATAAAGCCAAACAAATTCCCTTTGTCCCATTCATTTTCCAAGTCGCTCAAGTCCTGAGCAGAAACCTTCGGTGCTCGTGACCTAATGAGGCCTACTGTGGATGAATCAATTTGAGACAAAAGATCTAGATCTCCATGTACAAGGCCGAAAAATGATCGCCATATATGTCTTAAATAGCAAATGATAGGCTGTATAAGTTTAAACTTTAGCGCATCTTCAAATATCAACCCTTCCATCGGAAAGTATGGTTACCTCGTCACATTTCATGGCTTTGAGTTTATGTAACACACCGATACTCATGCCGGCCCAAATTCCAGTAATCGGCAAAAGAGAGTCAAATGCTTCCTGAAGGTCTTTTGAAAGTGTCCGCAAATATTCTCCTTTGCGACTTCCGTCCTCGGACTCAAGCACAGCCCACCAATAGTTTTCCGCCATCTGATTGCGAACGCCGGAAAAGACTCCCTGATAGAGGCGAATATTTCGATAAATAGTCCCATCCGACGGCCGATGCTCATTGGGAAAGCTTTCTCGAAGAGTGCGGTGAAGCTCGTCTCTTAGTGGGAGGTCATTGTCTTCAAACAACGATGTGTCACAATCAGTGATACGAAAAGATCATCTCAAGTAATGCAAGATACTTACTGGCCCCAGTTATGTATATATCCGCTATCCACCACGGCTCCTCAACTCCGAGTCTTCTGAAATTTTCTCTTGCTGCCCTGATGAGACTGCGATGATCAAGGGCAATGAAAGAGTATCCCTCAATAGTCCCCAATTGCGGGAAACCCAGATTAGGAACCAGGGTCTGCTGTTGCTGGACCACCTTGGACTGCCAGTCAGGATGGTGAATTACGACGGGGACGTGGTATTGCCTACTGAGGCGTAAACATCCCTGGATCTCCAGAATTCGGGCAATTCGGGTGACATTTCCTCCATCATCTATCAAATCCCGGCTATTCCACTCGGTAGCAAAATCGGAGAGCCGAATAATGGCCGCCCCCTTAAAACATTCATTCTGATAATCAACTAGTTCCCGCTCGCGTATTTCGACATCTGCTTGCGTCAATGCTTCAGGACTATCTGTTCTTGCTCTTCGTCTTCTTCTCGGTATTTGTGGCATGGTTACGCAAATGCTCTCGAATCTAGATTATGGTACCCTAATTCAATTTTTGTATGTAGGGATGTAGAAGGAAATTCGCGTGGTTTTATATTTGGAAAATTCACTTTTTGCTAGTCGTCCCAGGTTTTGTTAGGAAAGAATATCATTATTGATTACATTAGTATTGGGAAATAATTAAAACACCTGGGTATCATAGTGATCAAGCGCTATCGGCCTAGAGGCCCGAGAGTTTCACCTTACGTACATTCCCCGTCATAAATTGAACAATCAAAATTTGAACTAAGGGTCCCCTATCTTCTACTGAGTCATAGCCGAGATTCATGAAACAGAATGATAAAATGCAGTCGTTTCTAGAATGGGCTTGACTGATACATGCTGAACAACTACTTGCTGGCCTCGCCGTCAAGACCTAGATCTCCATTTGGAACCAAAAAGCACTTCTAGAGCTCTATTCCACGTCTATGAGGACTTGAAGAGGTATGAACCGTTGAAACCTTTCCGGTGGTCTATTATCAAATACTTAGACCATAGACTATATTACTGTCCTATCCAATATATCTAATGAAGAATTTATCGTATATTACTACTGCTACTAGCACTACTGCATACTGCTATATTAATCTTTACTAATATCCCATCTCACTTAGACGGATACGAAAATAGTAAGATAATTTAACATCTGGGTTCTCGCTTACGCTGTGTGATTTGGGTTTTGATCTACATCACTATCCTGGGCGCCTTTTACAATGTCTATCGATTTCGCGAGGGCGGCAGGATGATGCCATCTAAGTTGTAGTACAATGATTGTTCAATCTATCAATCCGTAATCAAAGTAGATTTATTTGCATATTGAAGAATATATGACTAGACAGCATAATTCCCTCTTTCCCATATTCTTTTGATGGCGGCTTGCTCAATAGTATATCGGCTCTAAAGCCTCAGCGATGGGTGCAGAGAATAGCTGGCCAATGCGGTCCAATAAAGCCCATTTTTATAATGGCCGTAATTCTTCCCGCCTGCACCCACTCAATGTCCCTCGAACTCTCATGCCGATGAGAGCTAACCTCTTCATGGTGCACTCGTAGAACGATACTGGGTTCTAGGCGTTGTATTGCAGGAGAAAGGATTATTGTGTGAGGGCGACAATTCTTTCATAAAGCAGGGTTTTGAAATTATAGTCCATGATCTACAGAACTGAATGAGAAACTTCAGCCCAGAGAGCTTATTACAGTTACAGGTGGCTGATGTGGGATCGTGCTTCGCTGTCAGCGGTTGCGCTGAGTATCAAGAAGAGTGATTACGTGTACAGTACTGTACAGCTGATTTCGAGAACGATTTTTAGTACATATATCACCCCTCACGCACACGAACGTTGTTTATCGGCTTACATTCAGAATGTGGCCCAAATATATTTGGCTTACTGACATAAGTACTAGTCTAGGAGTAGAGAGTAAATTACTGTACATCATAATATCGACTATAGCCGGTTCGGCTACCTGGCAAGAAAGAATGTCTGTGTCCTTAGGAAAGAATCTTTATTATTGCAATGGATATAAATCTGTTGGAAAGGAGAAAGAAATAGACTGAAGCATACAGACGCGTTCGAAATCAGTTTCACCATTTTACTCTCTTTGATTCTTTCCCGAACTTAATCCTAAAACACACTAGTCTCTGTTTAGTTTAACCAATTTTAGAATTCCGAATCGTATTGTAACCCCAAATCACATGATCAGCTACGTTGTAATATATTGGAAATAACCATACGACTGATACCTTATATCTCGATGCCTCACGAGTCACTACTTCAATATTAACAGCATTCCTTCTTGCGCAAGGTGGATGAATTATTATTGACTGAAATTACGCAAATACCACAAGGAAGAAAATTATATATAATGCGTCTTCGACAGAACAAGGAGCCGGATGCCAGAACGACGAGTCTTCCCTGCCTTGTCGCTTGTCAGAATGCGTGGTTACAACCAATCAACGAATGTGAATAACTCTGAATTTGTAATACCCCTGAGTGCTGGCAATTTATAACTTAGGGGAAACTAGATTACATAAGAAATATAGTATGCGGAATATCAGTTCCACCGATACGCCGCGGTATTCGTCCCGACATCGCTTGATCGGTCACCTGACAGCGGGGTACTTTGACGACTCAGCCGTAAGCTCTCTTCTCAAAATCACAAAGCTACAATAATGGCATACACGACGTCATATGACGGTTCAAACTCTGGGTTCCAAGTTGGGCAAAACCTTGGTCATATCACTCGTCAGTTCCGTGAGTAGGAGTATCTATAAAGGAATGTGACTAATTGTTGTGACTACCTAAGTACAACCGGAAAGATCATTGAATCAGGAGTGCCTGCGGGATCTGCGGACGACCGATCCTCACTATGACAAAGACCGTATTCAGAACACCAATGGAGGGCTGCTCAAAGACTCATACTGCTGGATTCTAGACAACAAGGAGTTTCAACAATGGCAAAACGACCAGAGCAACTGTCTCCTCTGGATCAGAGGTGATCCGGGTAAAGGAAAGACAATGCTGCTGTGCGGTATCATCGATGAATTAATGCGATTATTTGGGGACACTGCGAATATCTCTTTCTTTTTTTGCCAAGCTACCGACGTACGCATCAATAATGCCACGGCTGTTCTCCGTGGCTTGATATATTCGCTTGTCGAGAAGCAGGTATCTCTTCTCTCCTATGTGCAGAGACTGTATGATAAAGCGGGAAAAGCATTGTTCGAGGATACAAACGCATGGAATGCCCTCTCGAGGATCTTCACGGATATTCTGAAAGACCAGACCTTACAGAGCACCTATTTGATTATCGACGCGCTAGACGAATGCACGTCAGGCCTACCTTCCCTTCTCGACTTGATTACTCAGACATCGTCTGCTTACCCACAGGTCAAGTGGATTGTCTCGAGCCGCAACTGGCCTGAAATTGAAGAGCGTCTTGACACTACCCAGACCGCTCCGATCTCATTAGAGCTAAATGAGGCGTCTGTATCTGAAGCTGTGAGCAAATTCATTCAACATAAGGTTCACTATCTGGCGAAAGTTAAAAAGTATAGCGAAGAAACTCGTGATACGATCTACTGTCATTTGTCATCTAACTCGCAAGGCACTTTCCTTTGGGTAGCCTTGGTCTGTCAACATCTTGATAGAACATCGCGGAGACACGCTCTTAAGAAGCTGGAGGCGTTTCCTCCTGGACTGGATGCGTTGTACAGTCGGATGATCGATCAAGTTCGCAACTCGGATGATGCCGAGACCTGTAAACGAATACTGGCTGTTATGTCTATAGTGTATCGGCCGATCGCGTTTGACGAACTTGCCTCTCTTATTGACCTACCTGATGACCTCTCTGATGACTCTGAAGCCCTATCAGAGGTTATCGGGGTTTGTGGCTCGTTTCTGACTGTGCGCGAAGACACTATCATTTTCGTCCATCAATCTGCAAAGGAATTTCTACTCAAAGAAAGGCAAAACGTGGTTTTCCCTAGAGGTATAGAAGCTGAACACCATACAGTTTTCTCCCGTTCTCTTCAAGCCATGTCTAAGACACTTCGGCGCGATATCTTTCAACTGAGGTTGCCTGGATTCCCGATTGAGAAAGTCAAATCACCCAGTCCTAATCCATTGGCGGCTGCAGAGTATGCGTGTGTCTATTGGGTTGACCATCTTCACCATAGCCGATGCCATAAAAGGAATGATATAAGCGTTGATGAGATAGGGTGTGTGGGTGACTTTCTACAAACGAAGTACCTTCACTGGCTCGAAGCCTTGAGCGTTCTAAGATGCCTATCACAAGGCATAGCAGCTATGCTAAAGCTTGAGGGCTTGTTTCAGGTGAGTAACTGCATACACCAAAACCATCTCCACTTCTGATTTAGAACTACTATAATAGGAAGAAAGCAAACCACCGGTACTTTCACATCGAATCCAAGACGCCTCCCGATTTATTCGATACCACAGAGTAGCAATTGAACGTAGCCCCCTTCAAGTATACAGTTCACCTCTGATATTTAGCCCAATGTTGAGTCTCACGAGAAGTTGTTATCAAAGAGAGAGACCGGATTGGGTTTTGAATGAGCCATCGGTGGACAAAGATTGGAGTTCATGTCTTCAAACCCTCGAGGGGCATAGTAATAGGGTCCTCTCGATTGCCTGGTCACAAGATGGAAACCGACTCGCATCAGGGTCCTATGATAATACCATAAGGATCTGGGATCCGGCCACCGGCCAGTGCGCGTCAATCCTCGAGGGGCATGGCGATTCGGTCAACTCGATTGCCTGGTCGCAAGATGGGAGGCGTCTCGCATCAGGGTCAGATGATAACACCGTCAGGATCTGGGATCCGGCCACCGGCCAGTGCGCGTCAATCCTCGAGGGGCATGGCGATTCGGTCAACTCGATTGCCTGGTCGCAAGATGGGAGGCGTCTCGCATCAGGGTCAGATGATAACACCGTCAGGATCTGGGATCCGGCCACCGGCCAGTGCGTGTCAACCCTCGGGGGGCATAGCGAGTCGGTCCTCTCGATTACCTGGTCGCAAGATGGAAGCCGACTCGCATCAGGGTCAGGTGATAACACAGTCAGGATCTGGGATCCGGCCACCGGCCAGTGCGCGTCAAGCCTCGAGGGGCATGGCAATTCGGTCCTCTCGATTACCTGGTCGCAAGATGGAAGCCGACTCGCATCAGGGTCAGGTGATAACACCGTCAGGATCTGGGATCCGGCCACCGGCCAGTACGCGTCAATCCTCGAGGGGCATAGTAATAGGGTCCTCTCGATTGCCTGGTCACAAGATGGAAACCGACTCGCATCAGGGTCCGATGATAAGACCGTCAGGATCTGGGATCCGGCCACCGGCCAGTGCGTGTCAACCCTCAAGGGGCATAGCGAGTCGGTCAGGTCGATTACCTGGCTGCAAGATGGAAGACTCGCATCAGGGTCCTATGATAATACCGTAAGGATCTGGGATCCGGCCACCGGTCAGTGCGCGTCAACTCTCGAGGGGCATAATGAGACGGTCTACTCGATTGCCTGGTCGCAAGATGGAAGCCAACTCGCATCAGGGTCAGGTGATAACACCGTCAGGATCTGGGATCCGGCCACCGGTCAGTGCGCGTTAACCCTCGAGGGGCATAGCGGTTTAGTCCTCTCGATTGCCTGGTCGCAAGATGGAAGCCGACTCGCATCAGGGTCCTATGATAATACCATAAGGATCTGGGATCCGGCCACCGGCCAGTGCACGTCAATCCTCGAGGGGCATGGCGATTCGGTCAACTCGATTGCCTGGTCGCAAGATGGGAGGCGTCTCGCATCAGGGTCAGATGATAACACCGTCAGGATCTGGGATCCGGCCACCGGCCAGTGCGCGTCAATCCTCGAGGGGCATGGCGATTTGGTCAACTCGATTGCCTGGTCGCAAGATGGGAGGCGTCTCGCATCAGGGTCAGATGATAACACCGTCAGGATCTGGGATCCGGCCACCGGCCAGTACGCGTCAATCCTCGAGGGGCATAGTAATAGGGTCCTCTCGATCACCTGGTCGCAAGATGGAAGCCGACTCGCATCAGGGTCAGGTGATAACACAGTAAGGATCTGGGATCCGGCCACAGGTCGATGCGAATCAACGCTCTATATCACCTCCCCCTACTTCGTTCAATTTGGTAAACTCAATTTCAATCATCTGCACACGTCAATCGGTACACTTGATATAGGAACCATTGATACTGTCACGTCCACTCACTGTTCAGCCGTGCCAGAACATTACGGCTATGGTTTGAATGATGACTGTTCCTGGATAACATATAACGGTGTCAACCTCCTTTGGTTGCCTGTCGAATATCGACCAATAACTTCCTTTAGCTTTGCTATGTGGAAAACAAATTTGGTGATCGGGTGCTCATCGGGGCGTGTCCTTTTCCTTGCACTTACAGAACAGAGTCCTATCCCTGGCCTTTGAGCAACGGTTATCTAACACTTTATCTTCACTAGCCTATACGCTTATTTCTAGACTTACCTTTAGCTGAAGAAGTGGTGAGACTGTAGAAATCCCAAATTGGGACTACTTGCGTGATCTAGTTGCGGGATTCAAAGCTGCAAGTTCGTATAATAAATCGCTAGGGCAACATGTACTGTAGTCAACTATCTAGGAGAGACTAAGCTATGATCTATCAACTATAATGTCTAGGATGCTGTCACATTTCCCCTAGCTAGCAATAAGTTAGGGCCCGCAGTTTACAGGTCGTTCTTCTAGAAATAACCGAGCTCCTGCGAACGACGAGGCCTAAGGTCACGTGCAGTTCCCAATACTCCAGCATCCCCCAGGCGCTCGATCAAAACTATTTCGTCCGCTCACTGAGCAGGAGGGTGAGCAGGGGTGAGCATGGAGAAATGAATTGCCCCGTGTTGGACCAACAATGCCGCATCAAGAGGTTTCCACCACAGACACCCTGAACCTTCCAACATCATTACGCAAAATGGCGCCAAGGCTTCCTCCTTCGAAGCTCGAGATGATCCGTGACATGATACAGTACTTAGCGAATCGCTAAACACATCACAGATGGCCGAAGCGGCTGAATGTAGTGAGCGTTCAATAATCAACCTGCGCAACAACCTTCACCAATTTGGGAATATCCGAGCGCCTCCTACACGTGTTGGACGACGACGAAGCATCACCCCTCTAATGCTAGAGGCCATATGTGATCATCTTCTTGAGGAATCTGGGCTATATGTAGATGAGATGGCGCTCTTTCTATGGGATGGATTCCATATTCAAGTAACGAAATCAAGTCTTAAGCGGGCTCTTGCGTCTGTCGGCTGGTCGAAAAAGGTGGCGCGACAAAGAGCAAAGGAACAAAACGCCGATTTGCGAGATTTCTACCTACACAACCTATCGGACTTCCGATTCTATCACCTGGTCTATGTGGACGAGTCCGGATGCGATAAACGGATTGGTTTTAGACGGACCTTTGCAGGTTTCCAAATTCCATCGTGATCAACGATATCAGATTCTTCCTACATACGCCCAAGATGGTGTTGTCTTTTCTCGAATATTCCAAGGCTCGACTGATGCAGCTGTATTTGAGGATTTCATTGAGCAACTTCTCAAACATTGCGGAAAGTGGCCTAAACCAAAGCCGGTTGTAGTCATGGATAACGCATCTTTTCATCATTCTAAGCGAATCAAAGAACTATGTGCCAATGTAGGAGTAAAGTTGGTTTGCCTGCCACCTTATTCACCTGATTTGAATCCCATCGAGGAGTTTTTTTCTCTAGGCTGAAGGCGTTCATTACGCGGAATTGGCGGCGATATGAGCAAAGCCCGGACTAAGGATTCGCCCCTTTCTTTGAGCGGTGTATCGAGGCTGTCGGATCTCGAGAAGAAAGTGCAAGGGGCCATTTCCGGCACGCTGGCGTTGTTGTTGAACATTATTATTGAGGCTGGGTATTGATAGATCAACACTAGTTCTGTACAAACCCATTTCAGTGGCGTCGAATTTGAGCAGATATTTCCTGTATACGCATTTATTCTGCCAACTATTGCACTGCAGGGAGTGCATCTGATCAAAAGCTAATAAAAAAATCAATTCCAAGTCTAATCACGCCTTGCCAGCCACTGACTGCGAGCCCGCGGAGTTAGTTTCTTACGTGCCTCACCCATCTACTAATGTCACTTACGAAGCGGCGTGCAATTCCTACCGCAACTCCTTTTTTAATATAGAATCCCGCGTCATGGTCCTCATGGATCTGTTCAAGATCTAGACCGTTGGCCAGCGTTATATCGCATGCCTGTCGAAACTGAGCCTTCAAATTGTCGTCGACAATATTTGTTTTTTGCCATGCGCTGTATTCTCTCACAGCCAAATCTCGGGGGCTATTAATTATGAGCGGATCAGCTGTCTGTCTATGTTGCGGTGGAGACGTAGCCAGCGTTGCAATTGAGTTGGTCGCCGGTGATTGTAGGTGATGCTGCCCTCCTATGAAGTTGATATTAATAGGTGGACAATTTCCTGTAGCAAGCATTTTGTTGCCTTTAGCTTCTAGACTTTCCAATTTCTGCTGCTCTCACAGGAAGAGCTCTTCACGAACAGCGTCAGGAACATCGTCTTGACACTCTAGAATGCCACCACCTTCAACATAAGCGATCAGGCGTTTCAAATGATGTGTCCTCAGCTGATAGTGTTTTTTCCTATGTGGGTCCTGCCAGCAGTGCGGACCAAGATGACAAGATGGTGAAGGACAGCGCATCAAGGTGTAGACTGCCCGCCAGATCGACTGTTCCCCAGTTGCATGCTGTTCGGCGTCGAGTTGTTCATCTCGTTCGTTAAGCATCCTTTTGGTGATAGATGACCTTCCTCTTTTGTCGTTTCTGCCTATTGCGCTTCTAGGAGAATGGTCGTCCTCTATATAGTTAAAAATAATCATCAGCCGCAACTCTTTACCGCTGGCATGAAACTTCCCCCAAACGAGTATTTGTTTTTCCACAGCGGACCAGTTAGTATTGAGGTCATTGAACCGCTTTTTCAGGTCCGTTGCTTACGATCGTTGATCGAGACAATAATAGATGTGTCGTCCGACCTGACCCTTCGTTTGCGCGCAACTTTCTCCTCGATTACCTTATACAGCTTGTCCCTGAGGACCAAGGGCCAGTAAGCACTTGGAGTCAGCGCTACGTACTGCTCCGTGTCCTCTGACATGGACCGATTATTTACTTTTGACTTTCCACTCGATAGTATACCGAATAAAGCTGTCGGGAAGCTCGTCGTCTGGCCTAATTGCTTCCCACTCGGAGAGCCGAAGCAGCTTATTGGTTTCTGGTGGGGCTGAGAGTATGGGCTCGGCACCGTCCTAGGGGCAACGGTTCGGTGAAGGGCTAAATCCATATTCTGAGGGTGGCGTGTGTACGTAATATCCTGGGGTTGGAGCGTATTGCGAATCCAGGTCTGAGGGATCGAGGTCCTGAGCTTGGGGTTCATCACTGCTAGAATAGAAGTGGTTAATCATCGTCATCAATATCCGAGTAAACCAAACTTCAGCAAATTTTGGTCATTCAGGGTTCAACAGAGGGGCACCAAAGGAATGCAGGAAGGCGTTTGTAAAGGAATTTTTATCCCACCAGTGTTGTTTCTACGTATCTCTTCGCTCGTTCACTGTGTAAGTAGAGTAGTAGTGTAAACGGGGTGAATTGAAGAGGGGAGGGAGGTGAGAGATGTAGTGACCCGACAACCGACCAAATCTCCTGCCAGCCAGTATGTTTGGTTTGTTTGCAACTGGATGGTTCTAGACAGGCCCGACCCATACAACCATGATACGATAGCTATTTTTATGCCATTATTTATTACCGTACTGAGATACTGCCAAGAGTGTGGGTCAGGGTAAGATAACCATAAAAGGTATGGCGTCACGCAAGATAAAGTTTGAGAAACAATTGAAGAGAGTAAAGACGTGAAACTGATTTCGAGCACGTCTGTATAGTGTTCATATAAGAGAGAAAAAGACATGCCCCACGCTGATCTAAACAGAGTTATGACTTGACCTAAAGAACCGACCTTTGCTATTGTCCGTTACTAGGGCTTGACTGGGTATCTTTACTTGAAATACAGAGGCTGATATTTAATCTCGCTGTGTTCAAAGCGCGGAAATTCTATTTAGTTTCAGAATTTTTACTAAACAATCGAGTTTTTTTTTCAGCTTAGACCTTTATTGAAGTCTTGATGTTCTTGCTCAACACTCACTTCTCTCTGGACATCAAAAAATTCTTCCAAAGCCATCAAAGACATTCGCTCTCGATCTTTGATATCTTCCACTAGTGTTTTCAATTCTTCTGCAATCTGGTGAATGGGGTCAAAATCGCGAGAAGTATTGTATGGGTCATGCTGGCAATGGAAGAGAAGATCATCCGACGCCTGGCTGAGTGTATCTTGCAATCGCTTTAAAAGACCATAGCAGATACGATAAAATGTGTTCTCGCCTTGTTGTCGACCAAGCTCTCGAATAATGTCAGCAATCTCGTCCATCCTGAGCAGTTTCGTGTACTTTTATGACTTCATAAGTTTCAAATAAGCCTAGCACCGACGGGCAAGGAACATATTTCTACCAAGAGATAAGACGCATCAATAGGATAAGATTCGCAACACACCAAATCGAGGATCACGGCAGTGTGAATCGTCTCTGGTATTGTTTATGCTGCGCGCAATTAGGGTCTTTGGTTTGATATTGAATGATGGATTCCGGCAGGCGTTGTCCTGTATAGATAACAATCCGTAGCATCCCTCAGTATAATGCACTCAGCATAAATACATGCAAGAATACAGAATCCGCCGTAGAATTAGAGACAGTTTCTCATTGCGTATTGATCTAGCGGACCCCCTTCATTTGAAACAACATTTTGACTACATGAGATGGTCATGAGGTCGTGCAGCTATTATCCAGGACTAGATAGGTCGAACTAGTCTTATATTATGTGACGGAATGTGAGGGTGTGAAAGGATCCGGGAAACTAGATACCATATCTAATGGCTTGATTAATATTTTTTTAACAATACTGCATGATTATGATAAAGTTCCCCTGATTACAGGTAGGATCGAAGTCAGTTTCACCACTTACACACAGAGATTCTTTCTCAAACCCTCTTTCGAAACCCCACTATACCTGATATAGTTACTCTACCCCTGACCCCTTTCTTGGCGGTATTCCAGTACAGTTGTAAATAACAAAATAAAAATAGCTTCGGTATTAAGCTTGTATAGTCTGATCTTCTACAACGTTACAGCTACAAGCAAGGCAAACAGATGGAAAATATTGAGCGAACATCTGGGGCTGGCTGGGTATTGGGGGTTGCACGTGACATGGCGATCTGGGGACTCAGAGAGCATGATGGCCCCTCTCAAATCTGCGGGCCGCAAAAAGATAAGGTAGTTAAAGACTACCGTATGACGTTTTCGATTATTGCAACCACGAAGTCACGAAGTGAATCATTTCGATTCCATACTATACTATGCGTTTCAAATCGGTGGGAAGCAGTAGCACTTTCAGGTAATGAGGTCCAAATGTGTTTCTATGGGAATTTTGGGCTGGTTATCGCAGGCTGCGATTGATTGATTTGACTAGGCTAAAAGCCATAAATAATTTCCTGGATTAGCGCGGTGGAGTCACCTGATGATGAGGCTGAGGCCATGCCCCTCATTCAACTCATAAGAGTCTAAGGTCTTTACAGTATCTTGAAAAGCACAAGAGGCGTTTAAGTTTACCATGGCATCAATATCATTCGGTGACAATAACTATGCATTGCAGATAGGAGAAAACCATGGGCCAATACACGCGGAAATCCATCCGCCTCCAGGTAAGCCAAAAGCCAGATATGAAGATCCACTAAGTAACTAATCATCTTCTCAGAGCGACCGGAGACCCCACCCAGCCCACTCTCAACTGTCCCATTCCTGCGCGATGAAGACTTTGTGAGCCGCGACAAGCCCCTCCACCAGATGCGCGAGAAAAGTGCAGTACCAGGCTCGAGAATAGCGCTAGTCGGTCTCGGCGGTGTCGGGTGAGTGTAGAGCGATCATTCTATATTTTGTAATCATTTTGAATTTTGTTTCTCACAACTAGAAGGAAATCGCAACTGGCTATTAAATACTCTTATCGCATTCGGGCCGAATCGCCGGCAACGTGGGTTTTCTGGGTCCATGCGAGTAACGAAGCGCGGTTTGAGCAAAGTTTGCGGGATATCGCAGACCAGCTAAAGATCCCAGGTCATCTGGATCCCACAGTGAATATATTCAAATTGGTTAAAAGCTGGCTACGGGATGAGAAGAAAGGAGAATAGGTCTGTATTCTGGATAATGCCGACGACTATGAGTTTCTCTGTTCGCTTCCAGCAGTTGATAAGGGAGCTCCAGCGAAACCACTTCTGGAATATATCCCAAAAAGCCGAAATGGGTCTCTCATAATCACAACTCAGAGCAGAGAGGCTGCGCTAAAGATGGTCGCTCATAAGGATTTGATTGAAGTCAAACCGATGGAAAAATCCGAGGCGCTAGAGCTTCTCCAAAAGAAGCTTGAACAGCCGGAGGAAGACCAAGATAGTGAAAGCCTAGTGGAGGAGCTCGAGCTTATGCCGCTGGCGATCATTCAGGCAGCTAGCTATATTCGAAATCGAGCTCCTCGCTGTTCGGTATCACAATATCTCAAAGACTTCCAAGCAAGTGACCGCGAAGCGACTAAGCTTCTTGAGAGAGAAGCAAACTGCCTAGATCGGGACTGGGAAGCAAAGAATTCAATCTTGGTGACGTGGCAAATATCATTCAATTATATACGCCGGACCAACCCGTCTGCAGCAGGATTGCTTTCGCTGATGAGCCTTTTCGATCGACAAGGGATACCAGAGAATCTTATCCAACCTCGACCTTAGGCCGACTATGAATTAGATTCCGAGCTTCTAAATGGCTCTAGTGATGGGGAAACTTCTGGATCTGATATAGGGCCCGATTTTGAAGATGATATCACAACACTAAGGGATCTTTCATTTATATCTATTAGTGAAGACGGCACATCTTTTATAATGCATCGGCTAGTACAACTAACGATGCGTGCGTGGTTAAGGTCTAAAGGAGAAATAAACCAATGGCGGGAGATATTTATAAGCAATCTATGCGAAGAATTTCCCACAGGGAGATACGAGAACTAGGAGAGGTGCCGGGCGCTATTTCCCCACGTGAAATCCGCAATGTCATAACGACCTGCATCACCTAAGTGTCTACTACAATAGGCTACATTACTCTATGAAGCTACATGGTATGCGTCGCAGAGCGGTAATATCGCGGATACAAGAGATATGGCAGCAAGATCAAAAGAGCAAAGAACGATCTTATTAGGTAAAGAGCATAAAGAGGCGCTTAATAGCACAAGTATGTTAGCAATAGCATACAGGCTCGACGGCCGGTGGAAGGAGGCCGAGCAGCTCAATGTGTAGGTGATGAAGACTCGCAAGACGAAGCTCGGCGAGGACCATCCCTCCACGCTGACCAGTATGGCCAACCTAGCAGCGACGCTTTAGAACCAGGGCCAGTGGGAGGAGGCGGAGCAGCTCTTTATGCAGGTGATGAAGACTCGCAAGACACAGCTCGGCGAGGACCATCCCGACACGCTGACCAGTATGGCCAATCTGGCATCGACGTATAGGAGCCAGGGCCAGTGGGAGGAGGCGGAGCAGCTCGAGGTGCAGGTGATAAAGACGAGCAAGACACAGCTCGGCGAGGACCATCCTTCCACGCTGACCAGTATGGCCAACCTAGCATCGACGTATAGGAGCCAGGGCCGGTGGGAGGAGGCGGAGCAGCTCTTTGTGCAGGTGATGAAGACGAGCAAGATGAAGCTCGGCGAGGATCATCCCGACACGCTGACCAGTATGGCCAACCTGGCATCGACGTATAGGAACCAGGGCCGGTGGGAGGAGGCGGAGCAGCTCTTTGTGCAGGTGATGAAGACGAGCAAGACGAAGCTCGGCGAGGACCATCCCTCCACGCTGACCAGTATGGCCAATCTAGCATCGACGTATAGGAGCCAGGGCCGGTGGGAGGAGGCGGAGCAGCTCTTTGTGCAGGTGATGAAGACGAGCAAGACGAAGCTCGGCGAGGACCATCCCGACACGCTGACCAGTATGGCCAACCTGGCATCGACGCTATGGAACCAGGGCCGGTGGGAGGAGGCCGAGCAGCTCGAGGTGCAGGTGATGAAGACTCGCAAGACACAGCTCGGCGTGGACCATCCCGACACGCTGAGCAGTATGGCCAACCTAGCATCGACGCTTTGGAACCAGGGCCGGTGGGAGGAGGCGGAGCAGCTCGAGGTGTAGGTGATGAAGACTCGCAAGACGAAGCTCGGCGAGGACCATCCGTCCACGCTGACCAGTATGGCCAACCTGGCATCGACGCTATGGAACCAGGGCCGGTGGGAGGAGGCCGAGCAGCTCTTTGTGCAGGTGATGAAGACGAGCAAGACGAAGCTCGGCGAGGACCATCCTTCCACGCTGACCAGTATGGCCAACCTAGCATCGACGTATAGGAGCCAGGGCCGGTGGGAGGAGGCGGAGCAGCTCTTTGTGCAGGTGATGAAGACGAGCAAGATGAAGCTCGGCGAGGACCATCCCGACACGCTAACCAGTATGGCTAATCTGGCATCGACGTATAGGAGCCAGGGCCGGTAGGAGGAGGCCGAGCAGCTCTTTGTGCAGGTGATGAAGACTCGCAAGACGAAGCTCGGCGAGGACCATCCCGACACGCTGACTAGTATGGCTAATCTTGCTTTCACTTAGAAATCTTTAGCTCATCATGCTGAAGCCATTGCTCTACTAAGAAAGTGCTTAACTAAGCAGAAGCAAATACTCGGCCTTAGCCATCCCACTACTTTATCTAATTCTGAAACGTTGTTAGAATGGGAAACAGAAGTTACACTGAATAAAGAAGGCGAATGGGAAACAGATTAGGAGTGGGAAACTGATAGCGAATAAATAGGTAAACAAGACACTGGATATAGATGCATAGATTCTAGGTTTTAGAATTTATTTTTACACTGCATTTTCTGCTAATTATGTTTCCCAAAGAAATGTTCCAGCATGAATTATTTTAATGCGTGCCCCTTGAAATGTATTGGCCTTATTGCTCTAGTCAGGTGCTCTTACAGAATAATGAGATGAATGGATAGAATGTCGTTAATATGTTTAAGACGCTGTAAGATGCTCATATCTTTTGTAAGAGGATTACGAGTATATTAATAGACTTTATAGCACGTGATATGCCTTTCAATACGATTCAATACTTGAGATTGAGCTAGGCCTGATATGGATTAGTATATTTCGGACTAGGGTTCGAGAACAACTCTGTGAAAGTAAAGTGGTGAAACTGATTTCGATCCATCCTGTAACCAGAAGACCTTCTCGGTACCAGGGGACCTAATGGGTATAGCATTCGACCGATCCTGTACACGGCGAATTCAGAAAAAGGGAGGGCAGTGGAAAAG